AATAGGAACTCCCCCTGCAGCGGGGTCTCTCCTCTTTTTAATGACAGTTCCGTTGTTATGCCACAGATTGCGAGTTTCCATGACTCGGCTCATCTTTGGTATCCCAATGACAAGTCGTGGAAAATTCAGATTTATGGCACTTGGCCCAGGGTGCTAAAACGACACAGCAAACCAAACGTACTGTCTGAAAACCGCTTTCCAAAATGTCTGCCTGGCAAAAATGTGAAAGACGCGAAGCCCCGGGGCCATGGTGAGTGATTCCTCTTTGCTTTCTCTACTCAAAACCGTCTCTTCTGAGTGATGTGTGTGTCTGTTGCTGCACATGACCGAACATGCGTTTACACAGGATACGTTCTGTCCTCTGCCACTGATGTGCCAAAACCCATTAAGAATTCTTTCGGTTTAATGTTTCCCTGCTTTTTGCATATAAATCTGAGAGCTCTCAGATGAGTGATTTTGGGTAGTGAAAGGGTACTCAGATAAACTCTAATTTGTAATGATCCATCGGGCAGCTTTTATTTTTTAACGTCAGGTTTACATTTTAGTTCTTCAGCAGATTATTAGAGTCGCTTATTAAAGAGCTGTTAAATCTGATGGATATTTTAGCGCCAACCCGAATTGAAGAGCGCGTCCCAACGATTCAATTATTGCCAAGTCAGTTGATGGGAACACAGGCGGGGTGATGGGATTAATGAAAGCACCGGGCAGAGGAGTCCTCTCTCCAGTCTGGTTGGCTGACAAAGAAGGGGCCCACGTGCTCTTGTCTGGATCCCTCCGCAGCATTTTAGGCCAGGCACTCCGTTTAATTATAGATAACAACACAGTGGGTAGGTAAAGCTAGATTTAACAGCTTTGCTGGCCACAACATCCTAAATTGGAAGAGCATTAAGCCTCAGCTTTGGGCCAATTACATTTGTGTTTGTGGTGATATGAAGAGTTGATGGCAGCTTTCAGAATTATTAATTTGGCAGGGTGGAATAAAAATTAAGTATTTCTAGTATATGGGGTTATTGTTATTCCTGCTCATGGAGTGCAGCCTGTGTTGTATACAGTCAGTGGCTGAATGGTGAATAAAAAAATTATAAGTTTATAATATTTGACAATGCAATTACTGCCAAAATTAAACAGAAGCTCCAGTGTCAAATAATTGGGCTTTGTATCTCCTGAGCATGACACCACCACAGGAGTGGTGAAGTGGGTTTATTATTTTCAAATTAGCAGGCAATGTAAAATTGAAAATGAAATTACAACTTCTATATGTCAGTGATTGGATTAATGAAATGGAAGTAAAGGATTTACCGTGTATTGGTTATGGTTCATTTTGATTGGCCACACTGTATATTTATTGCACCACTGATCAGCAGTGCAGCTGTACTGAATGAATATATCTATTCAGAGAAGGGATTTCCTGTCAAAGGGTGTTATATCAGATGCCTGTTCTGTATTCAGGTAGGCACTGAATCCAGTTTGATCACATCAAAAAGGTAAAAAGATTGAGTGCTGCCCTCAGCTATCTCTGTCCAGCAGTGGTAGGGTTTTTGCAGCCTTCAGTGTTAGAGCTGCAGATTCAGTGTTTCACTCCGCCTAGCGCGAAGCAGCCTCATTTCAGAGAGATGATACAGTTTCTGCATGTGTACTGGACCCTGGCTTCTGCTACTGCCTTGCATTTAACGTTAGGCTTATCATTGACCTCATCTCGCTCTCTTAAGAGGAAGGTTTCTGAGCACTTAGTCAGTGATATCATGCCTATCACAAGTGAATTAGTTGAACTGAATCCTCATGTGTGAATGGTGTCCTGCTGAGAAATAGTTGCCTCCGTTTAAACCTGCTGTCAGCTGCTTTGTATGCAGTTTATTGAGATGCTGAACCCTGAAGAGTATTCTAGTGTTTAACTTGTAGAATTCTCACATTAAAAGTCTTTTTTTTAAGTAAAGTTGAGTGTGTTATGCGAATAGAAACTACTGCATGTTAATCCTGTGGAAGATTAAAACAAATTCTCTCTAGTTGTAGCTATCAGAATGAGACATAAGACAGACGGCATCCTCTCTCACACTTTTACAAGACAGCTGTCACTTGTTTTGTTTATTTTACTTTCTAATTTAAAGTCTTAATTTTTCTCAGTAAATGTCAAGTCATGTTCTGCAGATGTCTGTTTGAACCTTTTCTGTTCGATAAAGTGGGGGAAATTGATTTTTTTTTAATAATAAAAAAAGATATTTCCTTCCATTTCAGCGTATTAACAAACTCACTGTGGCTTTGTAGTCGTTGTACAGGAGGCGTTCAGTCACATGTCGAGGCGTGCAGAGCAGCGTTCAAATACCATTTGCAACAGCATTTTTTAAAAACCTGCTGACAAAATAACATTACATTAAAACAAGGAACTGCAGGAAAAGCTTTTTAGTTCAATTAACTCTTGCCAGAAAATAATGTTTACCATGAAGATGCCTGTCAGAGAACTGGAGGCGGTGCCAAATCTAATAGCAGTAGTCACCTCGTAGTTCTCTATGTAGGAAAAACCCTGTATGTGTCTTCAGCAATCAGCTGTTTAATTCCCTGAACTTGTATCCCTCACATATGTTGTTGATGAAAAGCTTTGGTGTGTGCGGTAATCAGCAGTTCTGTAACATAACATGCGGTTGTGTTGATGACTGAGTCCGCTGCACACTGTAAACCCGAATAAGTTCACAGAACTCAAAAATTATTTTGTAACAGATTACACAAAAATATTTAAGTGATATTTTTAAAAGTTTTAAGTTTACTTAAATTAAAAATTATATTTACTGTTGCCTTAAATTATCTCAATGTTATCTTATAAATATTGATATTCCTCAACTTAAAATTAGTGAGTAATTCACTCAAAAATTTCAATAGTCTTCAAATCATAAAATGTTGGAAATAAACTCAAAATTTTCACTTTTCTTAAACTCATAAAATGTGGGAAATAGACTCAAAAAAATTCATATTCTTAAACTCATAATGTAGGAAATGCACTAAATTTCCTATAATTTTCTACTCAAAGTGGGAATTGCACTTAATTTATTCTATACTAAAATACTGATGTTGGCCAGCTACACAATTATAATCAGCTAATGTCAGAAAAGATGAAAGTGACACCACAGTGACAATTTAGCAACTTTTTTTATTCAACAATGTGCTTTTTAAAAGGCACGAGAATCAAAGGAGATCAGTCACAAAGTGCTCGTCATGAATTAAAATAAAAGGAAATAAAGTGTTTTAAAGTACATTAAGTGTTAATAGTTCTATATTCTGATAGTGGTCATTGCTACAGAGGGTAGATTCAGTATTTTGGGTCTCCATCTCACATTCTTTCAGTAAACATTATGATAAAAACTCACAAGGGATTCATGATAAAATGATATAAGATTCTAAGTATTATCCATCCTCAACAGCAATAAACTATTAGAATGTGGAGCCATTTAAAGGAACACGCCGACTTTTTGTGACTTTACCATATCACCCAGAGTTAGATAAGTCCACACATACCCATTTCATGTCCGTGCGTGCCGTAACTGTCTGACGCACACAACACTACCCTAGCTTAGCACAAAGACTGGAAGTAAATGGCTCCAGATAGCATACTTCTCCCAATAAGTGACAAAATAACGCCAACTTTTTCCTATTTATATGTTGTGATTTGTATAATCAGTGTGTACAAATAACAAGGTCACATGAGACACAGGCATCTTTCAACCGTATTTTAACCTATGTATACGGATAAAAGATGCCTGCGTCTCATATGACCGCGTGATCTTTCAATACTGTTTAACAACCTTTTGGCACTTACTGTACCTTGAAGGATGCAATTCATTTTGTTTTATTTTAAAACTCAAATAAAGTTCAGCTGTTGCCATTAAACTGACAACATCAAGGTAGTCTTTATGTAACAGAACATTAAACATGTATAGTGCATTGGATTGAACAGTCGTTTCCAACAAGTAATTGTGCAAAAACATGGGCTGGGCAATACGTCAATGTTTTGATATTTATCCATTAACAATCAATGAATCAAGTCTGAGGTAGAAGAGGCAAACAGTCTCATCTTAAATCTGAGGCAAAAACAACAAACGTCCTCAATACTCAGCTCAACAAATAGTCCATTCTGAGTGATTCACTCATTGAACAAATCATTCTTCAGCGTCAGTAGTAGTTATAATGTTGTCCTCAAGACACATTACAACTTTTTGTATAAATGTAAATGCTCGAGACAAATCTGGCTGACTCATTTCTCCTGCTCTTTGGGTACGTCTATGCGCTAGACCTACAGTACCCAAAGAGCAGGAGAAATGAGTCAGCCAGATTTGTGGAACCACTTGCAAGTATTTCATCCTCCACGACAATACAGATGCTCTCAGGGCTGAAGAGGGCCGCATCAGTAGTGTTATCCGTTACGACTGTCAGGAGAGCCACTGGAGTGTCAGTGAGGTCCTGACTATAAAACACAAGTAATACAAGAATGAGTTCAGCCCCTGAATACAAATTATGCTAATGATCTCTAAACATTACTGGCACTTAGACTGCAACTAAGCTACATGTTTAAACTATTTTCTTTACATATGCTTATATCTTATGTTAGTTTTACACCATCTGTTAGCATACTTTTTGTGGAATGCTTTATACTTACCTTTTCATTTATAATAACTTGAGAATAACAGTTTACTTGAGAATAACAACTCAAGTGAACTTCGTAAACAGGTCCTGGGGGTTATTCCAGAAGGGAGGTTCAACAAACTCTAAGCCTAACCCTGAACTCTGAGTTGACTTACCCTGAGTTTTTAGTTCCAGAACAGCTGATCTGAGTTAGGTAATTCAACTCTAAATATTATAGTATTATTAGTTATTTATCTTTTATCTGGCTGCTGGAAGGTGATTGATTAAACCTGCAAAGTGATAAAAAAAAAAGCTAAAAAAAAGACGATTGTTCTGATCTGAGAGCACGTCAGCAATGACGTGTAGTCTGATATTCACTGTGCGGCCGAAGTAAGAGCTCATCTAAATGAATCAAAATTCTCTTTTGGATAACTCAAGAGTTTCCCTCATCTCAGGGTTCACATGACCTGCTTTCTGAAATACCCGCCTGGTTCTCCTATAGTTTTTGGAGTGATGTCATATGTTTAAGCTGACTGAATAGCTAGGCAAAGGGATTGATAGTGAGGCCAGTACACTTACATTACAGGTCCTGAAGAACTTGGAGGCATCTTCACGCAGGTACACAGGAAGTGCACGAAGGACGAGATCCCGTCTCATATTTACATCACGTTGTTCCTAGATGGACAAAAAATAGACATTACAATAATAATTACACAAATGCAGCGCAAACACTTATAAAAAGAAAAGAAAAAGTGTTAAATGGCTCCATATTCTGATGGTGGTCATTGCTATAGATGGTAGATTCAGTATTTTTGGTTAACCATTTCTTTAGTTAAATATTTTTCAAATGAATTACTTTCTATTGTAAATACTTTAATAACACACAAAGGAAAAAAAATAATAAAATTTCACGAAAACAATAGTTATTTGGACATCTTCAAATTGAAGCTGAAAGTATCTTTTAAAGGTACCTCTTTCTGATAAAATACATCTTGTCAAGATGTCAATCTCTGATGAGATGACAATGTTGTTCATGGAATAATCACTTAACCTCAGGGCACAGTCCAGGCAATTCACACTATGGTTTCTTATAGTTGTCTGAATATAATCTATAAATAATCTGTTTCTGAATCATGTAAAGTAAACAATTTACAAAACTCACCTATCTCACCTATCAGACACCAACTGTCTGATGGTGAAACGCTGACTCTCTGTAGCACTCTTTGAAGTCCAATATCTATACACAACATGCACACAAAGATGATTAGTTAATGTTCTAAAAAACATTTTTAAAATAATACATAATGATAAATGAAATTTTAAAAAGTGAATTTACAGATAAAAAAAGTTTCCAAATCTATGAAAAACATTAATTGTAGGCTACAGTAATTATAGTAAAATGAAAAGGTTAAAAGATGAGCAAGTTAGTTATTAACAAGCACAACATCAAAGTTGTGTGCTTATGCTATTTCCGTTGTTGATGTTTTTTTTTTTAACAAAGTATTAATAAAGGGTTCAAGTGATCAACTGTGGACCCCACAGTTGAGATAAAAACATTTAAAGAAATGACAGTTAATAACACTATTTCATAATACATCCTACCTGAACTTTTAAAAAGGATTTCTAGATGATGATCTCACAACCACACACTTGAGCCTACAAAAAAATACACACATAGACCTTGTTAGCATCATGATAACACACTCACATTATGTTGTTTAGCATTGTTAGATTCACGCTGCACACAAACACACAGCCCGACAACTTAAAATATTGACTATGTAACGCGGACACTTATTGAAACAAGTATAATGTTACTCACATGCATTACCAGCGAACAGCGAAAACAACAACCGGCAGAAACCGGGAAGCAGGGATAAGTTAACGTTATGCTTTCGGACCATAGACATAAAGAACGTTTCAGACTCCACGAGACAGTTCAAACTCATGGTCGTTCCCCCACGTCATCTCCCGGGAAAACATGCATTATGGGAAATGTAGTTCTTCCAGGAAACCCGCTGATAACTTCACACCGTTGTAAGTCAGATTCAACAACTTCTTCTAAAGTTACAATTACTTGGATTTGTAAACTATTTACAACAAATATTCACGGTGCACATTGTACACATGTATTCCCAGTTCCAAATGTAAGACTATTTATCGAAATTCAATTAAAAAAACAATAAAAAAACGTTAGAGTTACTTACCAAATCAGGGCTGATAATAAGACAGCGCTGAAAAAAAGGCAGGCCAATAATGATGATGAAAAAAACTGAGGTGGTGGTTTGAAGCGAGGGGATAAAAGTGCGCATTGCAAACAAATAAAAACAAATTAAACTGTGGGGCTTTCCAAAACTTCCATGAAAACTTCACTGCATGAAGGCAAATTCAAGATGCCTGATTCCGCTTTCCTGAGGGAGAGATAAGACCCACCCACCAAACGTCATGACGTCAATAACGTCATGACACAACTGTATGGTTCCTAAACTTTTTGAGTGTTCCACTGAAATTAGCTATCAAATTTTGAGCCCTATTCAATTAAAGTGGCATAAATCTCAACAGAGCTCAATACTTTATAGTTTGGTCAACTGCATAAGGACATTTGACTGTAATGACCTCATTAGTTATGAGCTAGTACAACTGTTTGGGATTACAGTGCAGATTATCACGCATGTTCAGTGTTCTGAAGGCATTACCTGTAATGCTGGACCTTGAACCGAGACACAGAAAAACATCTTGTTTTAAAAAAGATACTATCCCTGGAAAATTTGGTCATTTCCATTAAAAAAAAACAACAAAAAAACTTCTGGAATTTCTCTCGGGTTCTCTGCAGTGGAGTGTTTTACAGCCTCCTCTGCACAGAGTTTTTATGCTGGCTCATTGTCAGATTTTGTCAGCTTCATAAACTGCTCCATATTCAGTACCTGGAACCTGTTTGTCAGCAGTCTGGGTGGTCAGAGATCCAAGTCCAGAGGTCTGACACTGCTTGACATCGCACAACGTGCTCAGACTACTGCATCACACCATCAGGAGTCGGCCTGAAACTTGACCTACTTCAGTCCACTGTTCCCCTTTGGTTTGGAGGTGGTGTTGTGGTGGAGTTTGAGCAGCCAGGAGATTTATGAAAGCCATGATAGTTTAATGGTGTTGACATTTAAACAAACAGTAAACTAATGAGAGTGGCTGTGGTTAGAGGATTTACATGATGCAGAGCCTCAGTCAAGCAAAAAGAGTGAGTGCAGGGTAATTGATAAAAGGATTGTTTTGTGTGGAGCTGACTAGGGCTGTGTGACGTCTGCAGACATGTTTGGGAATATCAGAGCTCAGCCTGTCCGTAACACTCAGAGGAAACACCTTTTGACATCAAAAAGACTCTTTAGTTAGAAGCTCCGTCTTTATTAGGGGTCCGTCCAGGCCTGTCATCTGTCATCTCGGTCTCTTTCTGTGGGTCACTGCGTTTCACTCCCCACATTAAGCAAATCTCTTAGATCAGGATTAGCGCTTCCCAGGGATTTAGGATTTCTGCCCGCCCAACACATGTTGCACAGTTACCATTTGTGTGTTGTGCTTCCATGTCTTTTCCGTCGGTACAGCCACAGTCTCTCTCTCTCTCTATAAGAAGCTGCTCCACTGATGAATGCCATCTGAGGGAAGAAATAAAGAAGTGATGGCACAGCATGAAGACAAATTGTAGCCTTGAAAACATGCTGCTGCATCTCTCCGGTCTTTGAGATGGAAGAATATTGAGGAGATGGCAGAGCAATAAGCAGGTTTGCTGAGGCAATAACCTCACAAGATTATTGACCAACTGTTGATACGATTGTGAGACTGAGAGGATTTTTTTCTGCTGGCTTTTTTCTCAGGATTCTAGTTGAAACCTAGGAAGGAAACTACCAGCAAGTGACCCTGATGATACTGTATCTGAGGTTTTTAAAGTGGTGGAACTGAGGATATAGAACATTTCCTTAAAAGTACTTTAAATGTCTGTTTTGTGTTCCTAGTTTATTATCAGCAGCTTGTAAAACTCAGTTATCTAAATGAGCACATCCAAGAGGAACAGCTTTTTCCCCATTGGCCCAGTATCTTCAGCCCTGATGCGTCCCACCGCCACGGCCGCCACCGGAGACAAGCCCGGACCTCCGGCCAAAGGCGCATTCTCCTCAGAGGAAGATATGGACAAACAGAAGGAGGCGGCTCAGTGTAGGAGCCAGCAGCAGGCCTCGCTGCCTGGTGTGCTGGATGAGTTCTTCTGGATAGGCAGTAGCATTGTTGCCTTCTCCAAGTGGAGGCTGGGCTACATGGGTAAGCTTTGTCCCTGGGTAGAGTTAGACCGGTTGGATGTCAGAGATTGCTGCCTTCAGAGAATACCAAATATTAAAATCAACACTGTTAGTTAAAGACGTGTCTGAAAAACAAAATTCCCTGTGGTAGCATGTACACCAAGACCGAGAGGAACTTCTTTGTGGTCTTTTGTGCAGCTGGTCTGCAGCGGTCACTTGGTTTACCTGATTAGTTTAGACTGGCACTGTGTTTCAGGTGAGATCCTGTTTTTATATGTTTACAGAGATGTTTAATGTTTGTTTAAAGTAAGTGAAAAGATGTGCACTGGGCAGGTAGAGAGCAGCGTTTTAGTCCTATCTTAATCCAGCAGATGGTACACAACCCGGGTGGATCAACCAGTCAGCTTGCTTGATACTCAGGTTGTTGACATGTAGAAGGCGTCCAGGTTTGCTCGTCTGCAACCTACAGTTACCCATGATGCCCCTCTCTCTCTGGAGACCGACAAAGACATTTCCGTGGAACTTCACAAAAACATATATCCAGATAAATGCGGACAGCTCTGAACTCCAAAGACAGAAAAAAACTTATAATATGGTTGGCCAGACCTTTTACCTGTCAGCCAGGTGTTTGTACATCATGGTGGGCGTTACAGGTGTTTTCCCACATTTAACTTGTGTGCACCTTCACACTACCACCCTGTCAGTCTTCAGTGTCAGCAAAATGACCATCTGCACAAAGGAATCACCTGTGTATGTGTATGTCTGACTGCAACATATGGCCTCCAGACAATCCTACTGGGATTAACCTGGTGCCCTGACAGTAGCTGACTCCGCCTGCTTGGCCCACATTGTGACTGTTGCAGCAGGACAGCAGCCAGTCAGGTCACTGAGAACACGCCCACTCTTCTCACCTGTCCTCCGTCTCAGCCGTTTTGGTGGGAACCCTGCGGCCTCGCTGTCTTATTATTATTATTACTTATTTGCCATGACCTTGATCTTTCCCTAACCATTGTGTAGTAGCTGTGTGTGGATTGCAGAAATACAATTTAACAAATATAGGCACTGACTGTAATCTTGGTTTTTCAGAATGGTCCAATATCAACATTATTAACAGCTTGGCTTTACCTTAATCTTACTACTAATGATGATGATAATATAATGAACTTTATTTATACAGCTCTTTTCAAACCAGAGTTACAAAGTGCTTTACATGGTTGAACCAGGATTGAAACATTTCAGGAGGCAGATACAATTAGAAAATTAAAATAAGTTCATAGCTAATAGGTTCAATTTCCACTGCTTACCTTCCTCAGAGCCCTTTATCTGTTTTTGATTGGATTTTCCTTTTTTTCCTTTTAAACCTACAGATTTAACTTTCTTTATTTCCTGGTCAGTGTTCAGAGGATGCCACCTCGTGTGAAGTGAACGGAAGAAACACTGAAAAGTGTGTGTGTGCCCAGTGTGAATTTCAGCAGGATAAACTAATAGGAAAAGGTTTCAGTGGCGGTGCAGCAGCTTCATTGATGGATTTTGTGTGAGGCAGCAGGTAAATGATTTCAGAATGAAAAGTGAAATGGCAGTGACATACTGTGCATTTGTCGCCTACAAATGTTTCACTGTTATTGCAGCGCTGTAGCAATAACGGCCTGATGTTTTCCGAAATTATGAAATTGACTGACTACGCCCTCTTGGTTCACAGTACAGAGCTCGTTCTGTCATTCATGCAGGTGTTGAATGGATTTGGTGTCCTCAGGTGGAGGCTAAAGATCATCACAAACGCAGTGTTTTCAGTTGTGGACATTAAGAGTCTTCATGACAGATTATTCTCTGAGTGAATAATTTGTACCGTCCGGGTGTCGTGACGTCCATGAGAAAAGTCAAACTCTTGGGATTTTTATTTAGTTTTGTGTAACTTCACATGTATGCTGACCAGTGTTGGGGTATTTACTCAAAAAAGGTAATATATTACACATTACTAGTTAAATTAATGCCTTACTTTACTAGACTACACAATGCTGAAAGTTACTAGTTACATTACTTTTGGATTACTGCGTAACATCACCTGTGATGCACAATAACGGCCAAATAACAAGTTACACCTCACATATGTCCAGATTAACACAAATCCTTATGAGAACATAGGCATGATGTGTCTTTTATGCTCTTTAATATTACAAAGCTGACAACAAAGTTGTGAACATCAGCCAAACATTTGGCATTTCATTGGAAACATTTATTTTTTAAATAATGAAGTTCATTACAATACAACATAACTTAAAATAGGTTGCCCTTCCAACCAGTGCAAATATTCATTTGTTGAAAATAATATCTAAAAAAAATAAGACACTGGCCCTCATCACAATATCAGATGATGGTGAGACTTCAAAGGAAAAACTTAGCATGTAATTTGAACGGTGTAGTTAACAGACCATACCCACACAAGAAACTGTAGCTCACTTGCCGAACAATGGCTTTAAAGTAGATTTTTCCATCTTACTGGACATGCTTATCAAAGAAGTGGTGGAAATACCTGAGGAGCAGGAGTCTCTCTCAAATCGTTTGTCAGACAACCTGTTCCTCATCGGAGTCAGCACACAGATCTAAGTTGAGTTTTCTGCACCTTTTTTTTGTTTTATTAGACAATACAGGAAGAGTGCACCACCTCATGGAGCCTCAGCAACAACTTGGAACACAAAATCCAGAACCACTGGACTGTTGTGTAATTGATTGAGCAGCTTTTATTATCCAGACGTTATCGACGTTTTACAGGCTCTGACTGACCTTTCCAATAGTTAGAAATGGGTCAGATGCATGTCTTCCACCACTTCTTGCTAAATTTGTGCTTCTTGTTCTGTATGTGGAGTCATGGCTAGCCTTAGTGAAGTACACTAGGAAGATATTTCAAGGATTTAGTTGACTTCCCAAAGGGGTTTCCTGCTCACAGCCAGCTACTTCACATCACAAGAGCAAACCCCTTTAAGCTGACTGGCAGGGGAGTATGAGCAGAATGTGGCCTCCTTCCCAGCCTCCTCATCCGTGAGTAAAGTGCTGCGTTCAAGTCAGCCACAAACCGGAGCGCGTTCCACGTTGAAAGGAATTTGGTTGCAAGTCTTTGGTTGCAGTTTGAAGCAATTTAGTGTCTTGCTGCACTGGTGAAATCAAACATGTGCCTGTGTGACAACAGAACGAAACGGGCTTGTACCCGCCCTGCTGTTTTCTGCTCAACTTCTCTCCACTAAGTCTGGAGAGTCGGATATCCCGACAGTTTCCTTTTAACGTTAGTAAAGCGTACATTTGGGTGACAGCGGGCCTCTGGATGCAGGCAGCGACAGCAGCAGATGTAAATGTTGGCCAGGAAACTGTGATTGCTGCTGGAGAGTGAGGAGCTCATCTCTGGCAGGAGCCACTTACCTCGGTGTCATGAGAGATGTTTTCAGCAGCATACCATCCTGACCCGAGAGAGTGGATGCTCTCCTTCCAGCGTGCTTTGACAGCAGCTCATTTCATGGATTACTGCCCCCTCTACAGCTGAGGACTACAGATCCTTAGCTCTGCTACAGCCGCGGGGCATCAGCCGCTGCAATCAACCAGCAGCTCCAGAAATAACTCTTCAGTTAAAATCAGTAAAGTGTTGCCCCTCATGTGGCATTTAGGTTGCATGAAAGAGTCCAAGTTGTAAAATCATTAAGGGTCAAATGGTTAGGGATGATATGTCCCTTTGTTGTCCCGCAGCACATTGAAAACCAATCGCAGAAGGCATTGGTAATTGGTTTGTTCAGGTGTTTTGTGTAATAGCTCATGTACAAATTCACTGAATGATTTTAGGTTGCATATATGATTTTTATAGTTTTGTATTTAATGCATCAACTTTAATTGCAGGACATTACCAGGGTTTGGTATCAACACTAGTGCTGAAACCATTCCTGAGGTTTAGTGCAAAAACAAGAATTCGGCCTCAGGCTTTGAAAACCCCTGTATTTGGCTTATTCAGCAGAAATTATGTGGCTCACAACGCTGTACCACCCACTTCAGGATGATTCCACATACCATTTATATCAAATATTAGATCAAATTTAATATGTTTTAACCTGTTTTTTATTTTCATTTAAATGTATTTTTTATTTCCCTATGTTTTATGTAAAGCATGTTGAATGGCATCGTTGTTGAAATGTGCTGTACAAATAAACTTGTATTCATATTTCAATTTCATGTTGAAATATAGAAAAATATTATGTTACATTCATCACACAATTTAACAATCATGTTATAAATTGTATCTTAAAAGGCACGGAGAGAGAGAGAGAGATGCTGTCGACCTCTGTTGATTATTGATTGCATGTACTCTCTTATTTGGGATCATATCCGTACAGGTTGTCATTTTCCCAGCTGCAATCTGATGTCTGTTGTATTCAGTATCAGCATTGTTACTGAAGTACATGACTTCATGGACATGGATCATCACTGAGTAACATGCTGGTCATCACTGGTGATGTGTTTCTGTACAAAGTACAACTACTAACAGAAACGCTCTCCTCGTGTTGATAATCCTGTGTTGTTAGCCGAACACTGCAGTGTGGAGGTGGAATTGTGTACTTTGCTGATGTTTTTCTGAGCAGAGATTCGATAGTAGAGGTTAAGAGCACAGGACTGAACTAAATTAACAATCCCATGGGTGCGTGGGGCTTGCTGCGGTGAGACCACAGCCAGGCCAAATCAATGCTCAGTTAGAGAAATCCGTCACTGCTGCTTTGTGTTACTTATTTTCACAGCAGATATTTTGGATGTATGTCGCATTCAGATCAAACGTGATCCAGGTCCAATCTAATGCATTTGAAGCAGGGTGTAGATTGAGTTGTTTTGTGGTTTTCTGTGAACTTTTTTTAGTTGCAACTCTGCTTTATCAAACTGGATCAAACATGCGTTCTGTGCTACCCCTCAGTGTCTGCTGTATGTTCAGGGCAGGCTGAGTAGCAAAGCAGCTGAGCTCTCACGCGATCGTGCTAATTTCAAGGTAACCTGATGTGGGCAGCAGGACTGCTTACCACGTTCTCACACGGTAATGCATCACTGAGATGGAAAACATGACGGAGGAGAGTGAAATTGCAATAAACAGAGTGGGAGGTGTTTTTTGATTATATAGAAGCTCCAAATAAAAGAAGAAAATTATCAAATGTGATGTTAGTTATTTAAAACCATTTATTAATTGAATTGAAGCAGTTCCTATATAGTGATACATACCATTAATGTGAATATTAAAAATGCATATACAGTAAAACCACTGCTAGCTCAAAACATGCTCCATCTCCTCCTGTTTTCCTGAGAAGTTCAGTATAACGTACATTAATAACACTAACATCAGCCCTGTCACACTCACTCTGCTGCTCTCATCTTCTAATTAATAACACGAATACTGTTGTCATTCTCAAATAATTACTATTTTATAAACTGGTTGTACTGTAGTAGTAGTACTACCCTTCGTAGTGTGTGTGTGTGTGTGTGTGTGTTTTTTTAAACTCGGGCTTTTTTAGTGACTGGCCTTTATTTGTTTGTGCTGCATTGAAATGTTTTTATTTGAATGTATGGTATTTTGTACTAGTATGTTAAGGCATGAGTTGAGCAGCAGATATTTTGAGCGTGTGTGTGTGTGAGTTGCTAACCTTATTCAGAAACGTCTGCATGCTGAGTTGGCCTAATTTCCTGCACATTGTAGGGAAATAGTATGATAGGATGTGACACTTGATAATAGATAATACGGCCATGTAGGGTGTAACTGCAGCCCAGGGGAATGTGGCGGTCCACAGCGGCCAGACCAGGGCTGACTACCGCCCTATTAGCTTCCTGTGGAGGAGCTGTCAAATTCTCCCCCTAAATAATGCCAAGAACACGTGTGGTGTTTGTTTTTTTTGTTTTTTTCAGGCCACCATTCTGGATTTTGGTCTCATTAAAGTCCGTCTTATTCTCTGCTGTGTTTTATTCCTAGAAGGTGTGGAAGGATGACTGTTTAATTTAGGCCACACTATGAATCCTCCCGTCTAAAAAGAACTCCTGGTTTCATTGATTTTTCCTCTTACAGTGTGAAGTAGAGATCTTGTTAAAGGGCTTTTCTTTCCTCCCATTTTCTTCCTCCCACGAGGCAAGCAAACCCCTGTCGGCAGTGACGAGCATATCTGATGCTTTTGCATTGCTGTGTTCATGTGAGAGTATCAGTAAATTACTGTGTTTTGCATGAGAGCCCAAGTGGATTTTGTGGAAATACGTACGCACACATGCTCTGTCTCTTCATTGAAACCATGTCCTGTATGCACATTTTTGTCTGTCACAGTTATAGTGCACGCTCCAGCAGTTTCCCTTCTGACATATTACAACCTTTTTTCTTCCGTCTGGCTTGTTTTCTCGTCTCCAGTGGAGAAATGTATGAGCGCCATGCAGATGGGGACCCAGATGGTGAAGCTCCGCGGCAGCTCCAAGGGACTGGTGCGGTTCTTCTATCTAGACGAACACAAGTCCTGCATCCGCTGGAGGCCCTCGCGGAAGAATGAAAAGGCCAAGAGTGAGTGTCTTCTTCCTTTCTTTCCTGCAGTCACAAGGGAACAGCATTTCACATCCATAGTGCAATGTATTCATGGTTCAAACTTCTGGAAAGGCATTTGTGCCGTGTTGTATGTGACATAATGACCTCTGAATCTCCATGTCATCCTCCCAACACACTCAGCCCAACCTAGGTTTTTGACAATTCAATCCGTCAGAACGATGATGGCAACAGGTTCTGTGTGATTGCTGCTGTCCACCACACTAGTGCATAGGTATTGGGAGTGTTTAGCAATGACTCTGAACCCCAGGGCAGTAGATTTGATATGACACAATGACGAAGTGAAGTGCTGAATAGAGCTGCTACGACCACATTTTTCAAATCAATTAACTGCATTTCTGTCAAAAATTGGCTCATCATTTCAGCTTCAGTACGCACTCTGAACACAAGTGACATGTCTAGTGCACAACTTAAAACAAGACTGTAACTCTTAGAAATAATAATCTACTTTATGCAAATTAAACGTTGAATTCATAAAGAATAAAAGACAGCTCGCTCACTTTGTTACATTTCTACGGCCTTACTCTGTCTGGAGTTACCAGTAACTTCAAGTGGCTAATGTTAGCTGATGTCATCAACAATTATATGTGCTGCTGTGTAACTGATGTTAATGATTCTGTAGACTTCAGTAGTTTTAGCATTTTACAAATAATAGTTTGAATTATTTATAAAAGTAAACCAATAAAGGATAAAATTCAGCGCTGTGGTGAATAGGAACAGCTGTACACATGCATTTGCTATGATTACATTAAAAACTACCCAACTTTGATAACAGCCAAACAACAAGCAAGTGCAATTAAACGAGACACGGCAATATTACTGAGAGAAAGGCCAGCTCGCTGTCTGTCCTGCAGCCTTTTATTTCATGAAGCGCTCTCCAACATCCGGCTGCCGCTTGCTTGGTCGCTCTCTTTTTCTCTTCTCAGCTTCCTCCGTCAGTGTCCTTTTTGGTCTCTTCACCTAACCTGCTGTTAGCTAACGTTACGTCCATAGGGGCCGCTGAACCCGGTTATGTTGCCCACTCGCAACCGCTCTCCCCCAGCAGTGGCATGATGTTGCTTGAAAGACTGGTTGGTGATCCTGGAGAACTGGTCTCATGACATAGCTCTGGGTTTTCTAATCCACCTAATTCCATCCGTGTTCATGTGAAAGATTCAGTACTTGCGGTTTACAAGTAACATCATCAGAACCATAAGTGTAGTGCTGAAAGGTGCCCTGTGGAGATGTGCCCTGCTGTAGCGTCACCTGTGTGCATCCTCATGTGCAGGATAAACAAAACAGGCACCCCTCCTTAGAAACAACTCCTTAGCATAGAGGTCAAAAACTCCACAGGGAACCTTTTAGCATGATAGATATAGGTATAGATATGAGCGATAGCCCCTGGGAAATGTAATTAATGATGCAGCAAAAACAGATTTATGTTTACAATATGCTCAAAGAATAAGAAGAACTTTTAATATACAACATTAAAAGTAAGGCTAAGGATGTGAATAGGTGTCTTTTGAAATGGATTTGAATTTTAAACATGCACAGTAGGATAGAGCGGGTGTGAATTATGAATATGTGACACATAGAAAAAGTTAAGTACTCAAATGCAAGTGTGTTTCAGCTTCCACAGCAGAGATGAGAGAAGAAGAAAAGCAATCAATGCCTGAAAAGGTATTTAATAAAATGATCACATAGTCTCCTCGTGTTATTCTGAGCTGCAGAGACTTTTGAATTGAAAATGTCATTAGGGCCCGAGCACGACCGTGTGAGGTCCCTATTGAATTTGCTCGGATTATTTTTTTTTTTTTTTTTTTTTTTTTTTTCTTTTTTCTGCAAAGTAGGCTCAACTGACATGGCCTAAACATTCTCGAAAACTCACCAAAATTTGCAAACATGTCAGAACCGGTGAAAAATTTCGTATTCTACAAATTTCGCACATGGGCGTTGCAAAATGACTCGCTAGCGCCACCTAGAAAATTGGAAAAAATTAGCCCCTCGTTCACGTTCAACCTACATCTACGAAATTTTCTGGGGACATGTATCATGTCAAGACGCACAAAAAAGCCTCAAGAACCCATAGCCTAAAGTCAACAGGAAGTCGGCCATTTTGAATTTTATGGCCATTTTTGGATGATTTACATACTTCGTACTTTAACGAACTCCTCCTAGGGATTTAGTCGGATCGACGTCAAATTTCTGCTGCGCCTTCTAAAGGCATTGAAGATGAAAAGTTGTGCTATTTGCGCGTTTTCGTCAATGGGCGTGTCCGTGGCGTCGATGATTCGCAATGAAACAGGAAGTTGTTGTAACTTCAGTGTACATGCTCACATCTGGACCAAACTGTACATGTAGGATGAGAGTCCCGCCCTGAACACATGTACATGCCGACATTCACCCACAGTCATAGCGCCACCTGCTGGCAACAGAAAGTGACCTTTAACGAAGCAGCCCCCGCCGCACGTTTCACCTACGTGCACGAATTTTCTGTGGTACGTGTATCTTGTCCAGACGCACAAAAAAGCCTCTTGGAGCCATAGCCTAAAATCAACAGGAAGTCGGCCATTTTGAATTTTACGTCAAATTTTGGATGATTTACACACTTCGTACTTTAACGAACTCCTCCTAGGGATTTAGTCCGGCCGACCTCAAATTTGTGCTGTGCCTTCTAAAGGCATTGAAGATGAAAAGTTGTGCTATTTGCAAGTTTTCGTCAATGGGCGTGTCCGTGGCGTGGCGTCAAAGATCAACTCTTCGCCATGACACGGAAGTTGTTGTAACTTCAGTGTACATGCTCACATCTGCACCAAACTGTACATGTAGGATGAGAGTCCCGCCCTGAACACATGTACATGCTGACATTCACCCACAGTCATAGCGCCACCTGCTGGCAACAGGAAGTGACCTTTAACAAAGCAGCCCCCGCCGCACGTTTCACCTACGTGCACGAATTTTCTGTGGTACGTGTATCTTGTCCAGACGCACAAAAAAGCCTCTTGGAGCGATGCCCTAAAATCAACAGGAAGTCGGCCATTTTGAATTTTACGTCAAATTTTGGATGATTTACACACTTCGTACTTTAACGAACTCCTCCTAGGGATTTAGTCCGACCGACTTCAAATTTGTGCTGTGCCTTCTAAAGGCATTGAAGATGAAAAGTTGTGCTATTTGCAAGTTTTCGTCAATGGGCGTGTCCGTGGCGTGGCGTCAGAGATCAAGTCTTCGCCATGACACAGGAAGTTGTTGTAACTTCAGTGTACATGCTCACATCTTAACCAAACTTTACGTGCTTGATAACTCTCCCACCCCGTTATGGAGGACCGATCCTGACACAGCCAGAAATAAATACAGAAATAAATAAATGCTCAATAAATAAATAAGCATCCAATTAAATACACAAAAAAATAAAGTAAATAAATAAATGTAGGTAGTAATTAAATTATACAAGGAGACATAAATGTTTATATTTTAATTAGTGCCTTTACTTATTCACCTTTGTTATAATTACCTTATTTGTTTATTCAACTTTATTTATTACTAATTTTTTTAATGTATTTATTTATGTGTGTTTTAATATTTTTGTCTGTTTTATTCTTCCTTTGTATTTATTTACCTTATTTATTTTCACCCATGGTATTTATTTCTGCCTGTCTTTTTTAAATTTTTGTATGCATTTCTGCCTCATTATGCAAATGAGGAGGGGCTGTGTCTCAAGGGGTCATCTTCTCTGCTATTGGTGGACCAGTCAGACAGGAGAGCTCTTACTCTGCCTGCAGACATCAACGATCTTGCCCCTCACACAGTCAGATGGCTTCCTTCAGTGCACTGAGGTGTTTAACAACTCTGAAGACAATACTACCAGCAATGTCTTCCTTCTCTTTTCATGTAGACGCTCCGACAGACAGTGCTTTCAGTTTGCTGCATGCATGGACACAGAACTGCGGTATAGAGAGAAGCACACGGTCAGCTGGCTGCAGCTAAATCTGGAGTGCACTCGTATTCAATTCTGTATGGTAAATTCAGTTTTAACGGAGCAGAGCGAGCTGACAGGCAGAGTTAGAGACTTTTTCTGTCCGTTTCTCTCTTTACAAAGACGCATGTTGCAGTCAGAGTCTTCTCTGAAGAGGGCAATGAAGTCTCAGTAGTACCCGATGCGAGCACCACATACAACACAATTTATCAAATTACACAACGGATATACAGTATGAAAATAAGACTGATTGGATTATACTCACAGGAAGTATAAAACCTGTTACATGCGTAACACTGTAATGTCAGGGAAATTACTTTACTTAGAATTAAGTACTGCAGTTGTACATTTGAAATACCTTCCTAACTTTCTGATAGGAAGCCTTCTTGAGGTGGTATAAAACATTTCTTCTTATATTCTGACTTGAGTTGTGGACAACTATGACCACATGAATTAAAAAAATTAAACATTTCACTGCCCAAGTCAGCTATAACACAAGTCTTGTTCATCAGACTACATGCTGTGGACAGATTTTGTCCCAGGATTTATTATGCATTTCTTCTTCTTCGTTGCATGATTTAGAATAATAAGGTGAGAAATGGGTCTGTTCTGAGTTCATCCTGCACTGCAGCAGCTAAAAAAGTCCATTTAATCCCAAAAACGCTTTTCTTTTAGGCAGGCTGGAGCAGAAAACAACTCACCTTTCTCAAGTTGTACAGTAATGTCACATGTGTATGAAGGTGGATCAAACCAGCTAATCTTAAATGTCAAAGTAGAGAGGAGCCTAGTAGGCCTATTTATTTTCATTCATTATACAATATGAATAAGCTATGCAGACAGTTGTAAAGAAAGAACATCTTTTTCTTCTGTTCTCTACTTGTTATAGTTACACAGTATTAGGGGTGTGGGCTGTATTAAAAGTATCCACAGTTCTCACATGCTCTAACACACAGTAACGATGAAATGTGTGCTGTTCTCACATTCTTCCTCTGTATCTACACATAAACAACAAGGCAGGGAAATATAAAAGGAATTTATTTTATTGTTTGGGTACATTATTGTTCAGTGTACATGCTCACATCTGAAACAAACTTTACGTGCTTGATAACTCTCCCACCCCGCAGACATCTACACACCAATACCGATTTATATTCATAGCGGCAAGTGCTATGTAGCTCCACATAGGGGACACAGGAAGTGACATATAGCACCTTCATGCGGCGTCGGAACCGCGTAGGAAATTCACAGCCGCACCGGCAGAGCTCCAGAATGTGCAACTCGGCCGGCTCACGCGCGGACGTGCTACAAGTGCGAGGGCCCGCCCAACGCTGCTTGCAGCTTTAATTTATATTTGCTTCTGTTTAAACCTGAAATGGACATCTAAAGCATCTAAGCAGCTCCAGAGCAGCTTAGCCGAGCAGCATGGGTTACAGTGGTGATCTGCCCCAGTTAAAAGTGACTCAGGCTAAAGTAAAAGAAAAAGGCTGAATCAAAGAGAGCAGAATCATGAAATGCAGTTGTGTCTGTGCACCAGGGCTCAGTGAACAGGTTGGTGAGTGGGAAAATTATGTGAATGAAATGTTTCGGCCTCATGACTCCACACTGACACACTTCATGTTGGTTTTTCCTTCATATATAGTATATGTATAACTTATTTCATTATTTATTTTATTCTGTATGTTCCAATGCCCATCTCCAAGCTGGCCTGTGTATCTGTTTAAGTTTGCCAGGCTTTTACTTCTGCTGGATTGAATTCTTGCTCCTGTACATTCCCTCAGGGTTGAAAGTGTTTTTGTTATTTAGAAGTGGACATTTATTTTCCCTGCACAGTATCTGCAACAAGCAAACAAAAGCCTTCCCTGCAGTGTTTCAGAAAAAGAAGGCAGAGGGATCTCTGAGCAGCAGCTCTCAGTCTCACTGGGTGTCTCATGGGGGCTTAGGGGCTCAGCTTCCTGTTGCTCTCCCTCCTCTGTAGATCAGGATTTAATAAGCACCTTAAATAGACTTAATTATTCATCAGCTTTAATCTGCCCAAACTGTGTCTTGCACGCACGCACGCGCACACTCTCTCTCTCTTCATTAGCAGATCAGAACAAGTTGAGTTTTGTTTTCTGTTTAAAGACTAAATCAAGGAATTTATCCTAAATCTTAAACTTTTTACGGTTGGATGAGTAAAACGGGTGCTTTAAGCCCCTTTCAGACGGGGGGGCGGTCCTAACAGAGCATGACTTCCTCTCTCTTAATCCAGCCTCCACACATCTGTACTGAATATTTCTAGAAATCCACGTAGCAATGACCCGCTGTCTTCTCTTAGCTCTGTGCCTGCAGAGTAGACAAAAGCATGCTGCCCGGCTTATAGTCAGAGCCCAGCTAACACCGCCTTGCCCTGTGTGAGGCCCTGCATCCCTCATTTGATACCTTGACAGCTCTCAGTCACTAGAGGAGGATACAAGGATCTAGCCTCTGTAGCCTTTTCTGGCAGTTGATGCCCTGGTGCTCTGTGCCACCAGCCTCTAGAGGCTTTTTGCAGAGCGCCCACTGGGTCAGACCGGTAGACAAGAAGCTCTGCAGGCTGCTGGTTTGCTCACACACCGACCAGGTGTCCTGCAGATACCCTCTCCGACCCAACAACCCAAACAGAAATTTAGATTTTGAGCTGCCTGCCAGAGCCCAGAGGATACTAAGAGATAGCACCCAGCCAGCCACAGCCCGTTCACCTGCTCCCGTCTGGCCAGAGATTCAGAAGGATCTGCTGTCGCGCCAGCAGACTGCAGAGCAGCTTCTTCCCCCCCAGGCTGTAACTTCGAAATTCATCCTCAGTTCAGCACCACAAATAAGGACTTCAGCTGGCTTTTGGCTGTACAACCATGTGCTGTATAATGATGAATAAATAAATGAACCGTGAACCTGAGTCCTGAGAGCCAGAGTCTATGTACATTTTTACATTTCGTCAACTTTGTTCTTCTTATTGTAATCCATTTTTGGTTGATGAAAAGTTTCTAGTGTTACTCATAGATAAATTAGTTGACAAAAATTTTTTAGCCTTTAAATCAAACTTGTGAAAACTGCTTCCACCACAACAACTAAATTTGCCTCTGTGTGTGTGTGGTCTGATGTCAAATAATTGAATACATCCAGACAAACATATTTTCTTGGCAGATTCAGGAGATTAGATGAACATTAGAAATATAACGTCAGAGTGGTTTGGTTATGATCAGAGTCTACATCCTTGGAAGTGATACAAAATAACTTGTATTTGAGATAAATTACTTAGTTATATTCCACCATTTCATGTCGTTGCAGTCTGACTTATTAGATTATGTTTTTACGAATCTATCTGAAGGTCAGAAGCTGACCCAAAGCACCAACCGGAATCAGCCTCTGAGAACTGACCAACTGACACCATCACCCTCAAAACCTGCTGCCAGCAGCTCATCAGATATTCCAGACAGTAGTAGTGGTGATTCTCCTTATCCACCTGATTCCTGCTGTACACTCCTGCATAATTTATAAATATGCTGCTGCCGGGAAAAGCACATATAGGATCTCCAGCTGCAGGATTTGTGGAGACTGACAGCCACATGGGAGCACACAGCGCAGCAGCATGTCGAGTGTCATGTTGATGGGTCCTTGATATCCATAGTATATACAGATTATGTGCATACAGCCGCCACAAAACCACAGGCTCGGTGTGTGGGGTCACTGCATTATGAATGAGTGTGTATGTAAATAATGTTGCATCCATAATGTGTATGACTCAAAGATAGAGATGGAGAATGTGTTATGGGTATATCCTCAGGAAATTGATGGTTTTGGGGGAATGAACAGTCTTGGACAAAATAGTAGACAGGCTGTAGAAGAACCAGAAGTAAAACGCTAGCATCTCGTTGCTTTCTCATAAATGCTGGAGCTTGATAAACAGAGCTCTCTGGACACTGCTCATTGAGCATTTTTAATCCTCCATATCTTAAACCCTGAAATCAGACGGAGGAATTTCCCCATTAAACTCCCTCTGCCCACAGCAGTTAATTTAGCCAGAGGGTAAAATTTTAAAGCATTAAAAGCTGAAGGCTTCAGAAGCTAATAATAAACAGTTTTGCTTTATTGTCGTCCACGAGGCTTGGAACCTGGAGCCCCGCTTACTCTACAGGTGGAAGAAGTATTGAGAAGTCTCACTTATATAAAAGTAGCAATAGCACCAAGTACAAAAGTATTGGCAGCAAAATGTACCTAATGTATCAAAAGTGAATGTACTCATTAGGTGGTAGAATGTTAGAGTTACACTGTTGGATTATTTTTAATGAAGCACTAATGTGTGTGCAGTACTTCACTGTTGTAGTTGGGCTAGCTGCAGCTAGCTTGAAATACTGTTGGGTAATTAATCTTACAGTGCATCATATTTTATCTGTCAGTTAAAACTACATTAGTGCAGTAGAAGTATAAGGTACAATAACATTGAGACACTCTTAAAATAAAAGTACCTCCAGATTGTACTGTGTTACGTTCCACCGCTGACTTCCTGTTTCCTCCACCAGTCTCCATCGACTCCATCCGGGAGGTGTGTGAGGGTAAGCAGTCTGAGATCTTCCAGCGTTATGCAGAAGGCAGCTTCGACCCCAACTGCTGCTTCAGCCTGTACTACGGAGAGCACATGGAGTCCCTGGACCTGGTGTCTGGCACTGGAGAGGAGGCACGGACCTGGATCACAGGCCTCAAATATCTGATGGCTGGCATCAGTGACGAGGACAGCCTGGCCAAGAGGCAGCGCACCCGAGATCAATATCCTTCAGTTAGATGGGGTGGGGGGGCACCTTGTTTGATAGTTGGGCTGGTGATTTGAGGGAGCCGCTACCTTTCAAGAAAGTCTGTTAAATAATCTATAGCTTTGTGATCGACATTGTAGTGAGAGTTTAATTTTGAAGCATGACAAGCTGAGTTTATCAATTACATTGACACGTTTAGTTAGACTCAAATGACTAAATGCCGACTTTCCTTAACCCACCTGTCGTCACATGGCTGAAGCAGACCTTCACTGAGGCTGATAAGAACGGCGATGGCAGCTTGAGCATCAATGAGGTCCTGCACCTCCTGCACAAACTCAATGTCAACCTGCCCCGACAGAAGGTCAAACAGATGTTCAAGGTACGGAAACAGCCAGGGCAGAGCCACATCAAGGGCCTGCAGGTACAGTGGGGAGATAAAAGGGTTAATTATCCCAACTACTAACCGTTGTCCACGGGAATAAAAAGCTTTGTTCTGTTTGCTAAAGCAAATCTAAAGATTGTCTTACACTCATCCTGTCTGTCCTGTTCACCCAGGAGACGGTTTCCTTTATTGCTGCACAATCTTTAACCAGTAATGTTAGTGAAAGGTCGATTCTACACAGACTTAACTGACAGAAGAGAAAGGGCTCTCAGGAATGAGTCTTCACTGCTCAGAGTTTGATGTTTTTTCAGACAGTTGCAGTGGTCAAACGGGACGAATGGTTTGTTCAGCTAAATCAGGATTCTGGTGCATGAGTGTAAAAACTGAGTATGTTGACTGCTGAAGTTTACCTGAAGCTGCAAAATCTGGATTATATTTGCATATGAAATTGAAATGTGTCCATGGTAAAGGCAAAATAGTGAAATGTAGTCATTATTTGTTACTTCAGCAGACTTCAAATTGTAGTTTTTACAGTATATTCTTTAAGTGAATCCACACTGTTGGCCTTGTGATTTGACTTCTGGTTGGTTTTTTTGAGAGGTTTATTTTTATTTACAGTACATTGCATATATACACTCAGTAGACAAAATATCAGTTCTCTCATTTTTTTTCACCTCTGGGGAAATTTATCTCTATTACAAACGCTGCTGCGAAGGTCCTGCTGGGTTGAAAGGCAGCTAGTGATATTTGTCAGCTATGAAATGGGTCGTCTATGTTTATTCGTCATTCAGTCTGCATTTTGACTTTTGGCTTGTAAGTTTTGAAACCACATTGTGTTCTGCTAACCCAAAAACCCAGCGGATACCAACGAAGTATCAAGTTTTGGGTCATGTTCAGGCGTTTTTTGTGTAAAAGTGTTGGGTTCAGCTCATCTGGTTATGTCACATGTAAATTACACAATCAGGTTACTGTCTGCATCCATGTATTTCATTTGTTGCATGTAGATACTTCATGCAGTTGTTTTACCGGGGCAAGCTGGTCATGTGAACCAGCACTCATTCCCAAGCTGCTGCAGCTCACGTCAGTTCTGTGAAACCCCACACTAAAACACCAAGCTGCCGTTGTAAGATTGAATTCTGCGCTCTGTTAGTCTGGACAGAGGACTGAAACTGACAGTAAAGAGCGGTTTATACATTTACCATGCATAGTGTGGACGAGCTGTTGGTCCCTTCAAAGCTGAAGGTCTGAAGTTTTTAAATTTACTCCCTATGTTTGAGCAGTCAGAACACAGAACAGGTGGATTTGATTTTCATATATACAACTGATACAGTCCGCTCAACTCACTACGCATTGTACTTTATAGCTTCTAACATTATTAAGAAATGATTCATTGTGAAACCGACCAGAACGCGGGGCAGTCCGCTCATTAAAAAATAAAACCGGCTTATCAGGGCACTCGAGGCTGCAGATTGTGAATGACCAGTAAAGACACTTTGACTGATTGGTCCTGCTGCAGATGTTTGCTAACATGCGACTCAGCCGTTAACTCTCTTCCTCAGCAGAGGATTAGTATGCTGGCGTGTTAAGCATGTTGTTTAGCCTTCCTCCTACAGAGCAGCTAGCCGGCTTGCTATCACTAAGTCCAGCGGCCTGTTGGCGGTCACCCATATGGTGCTGCTGGGACACAGATGGTTCCTCTGGTGTAATGCAGGCTAAACACCGATCTGTGTGTGTGTGTGCGTGTGTGGACTTCATGAAGATTTGTGTGTTGACAATCTCTCGGCTAGTTTCTTGGCTTACCCTACTTACAGCGGAGAGGGGAAAACCTGTAGACTTTACCTCACTCTCAAGACGTTAACTGATCAGTCTGTACCAGTGATTAAACCTATAAAATGAAGTGTTTGCTCATACTTAAAGATGTTTCTAATGGTTTATCCAATGCATTTATGTCAGCGAGGGTAGACAAATTACTAGAAACACAACACCACCAACTCCAGTCTCTGATATGACCAGAAACAATCAACACCTCTCTCAAACAACAAGAAGTGATGAAGTATTAACAAGGGAAGAAGGCTGCACTCACAAACACTGCAGCAAGATTGCGTTGAAGGTTTTCTACACAAGAAATATAATGAGCAGCCTTGCAAAATATAGATGGACAGAAAGATGAAGTGGTTTATTTATCCCAAAGGGAAATTGCAGCGTCAGAGCAGCCAAGTCACATAAATCACAAAACAAATGAGGTCAGAAGAAAACAGAATTAAAAAGGACATGTAATAAAAAATGCACAACAAAAAAATAAAACTAAGGCTGAGGACAGATCTAAAAAGTAGGACATTTTTAACTCATGAATACATGATGGTTCCAAATAATGTCCTGTACGCTAGTTCTGCAAAATTACTTAATTATTATTAATTAGTTAACAGCAGCCTGTGCCAAGTGTGGGATTTGTGTTGACCACCTTGCAGTGTCTGCACCCTCACTAACCTGATCAGATGCGCCTGCACTAACTTTAAGTGCTGCCATTGTGACAGTAAACCCTCTCACCATGTACTCTGTCTCTTTGCTTTTACCTCACAGAGCAGTTCTAGTTTGATAAAATTGTTCAATTATAAGCAACAAAAATGTTAAGTTTAGCTTGTGTTTGCAGTGCTGGGTGTAATGCAGTCAAAATAATCCTCCGTATCTTGGGTACTTTTACAGGATTTTATTATTTTATTGATTATTTTTCCATATGTGCACCAGGAAGCCTTATCTCTCAAGTGTTCAATTAATACACTGACTCATGAATATCACAGGGGAAACCTCGAAACAGAAGCAGAAAACTGAACCTCTCTGCTATTTCTAACTAATCTTTCTGCTTTTTAAACACCATGTACCCAGTGTGGTCTGTGAATAATACAACTCGTAGTAATTAGGTAAAGTGATTAAAATACTTTGCTCTTCCACCCTCATACAGTCCATCACTACAGTTTCCACATCATAACACGCTCATTTAGAGCTTAATTTCCTCTGCATTTCACTGGCTGTATAGGTGGATAGCAACTCCCCTGGACATTTTGTTTTGATGGAAAGCAAAAATACACACATTAACCTGTACACGCCCATTAGAGCTGCGTTCATTACTGAAACAAAGAGGCTGGAGCATAGGTCCAAAATGTCAAAGTAGGTCTAGATGTATCCATCTCTGCTGATTTGTTTTTTTTTGTCCAGGATTACAGCGGAGGCTGATGGGAATGGCAGAAACAATAGGCTTGGATAAACTGGAAAGTTGAGATGATGAAATAAATCAGGGAATGTGCAAAGTGATTACAATTCTGCAATTCCACAATTTTTTTCATCTCGCATAGATGTCTCAAAACTAAAGTGAGAAAATGTTTTTGTAATTTAGGTAAACCGAACAAAAAAACCCACATTGACTGAAGTAATTAATGATGTTGCTGAATTGTGAAATCTCAGTAAAGTTCACTAAGTAATTGCTAAAAAAGGCGCACTCAGATGTTCAGACGGGTTGTAAACAAGCAGTTTATCCAGATTATCTGAACCATGTTTTAACTCTGCGATGCGGCCTGAAGACCTCTCCTGGTTTCGTGTTGACAGAGCAGAGTCCTGGTGTGGTGTTGGTGCACATGAGTCACATGAAGCTGGTAGGATATGATATCTGGAGCAGGCTTCTCGAGCAGGTGCCATGCTCAGTGATTTATCGCAGCAGAGACGTGCAGACGTACACGTAGAGGGGAGACTTTGTTGGAAGAGGAAGCTGAAATTCTAACTGAATAATTAATCCATATTAGCTGTAGAGCTAAAACACAGAGCCTGCTAACAATTTAAGTGCCTGGGGGCATGCATAATTAAGGACTATTAAGGCTAGATTGATGTTTTCTGACTCCATTCTCCAGCTATGTCTCTGCTACGTGGCTATGCTCTTAGGGCTGAGATATGTCCTGAAGAAGAGGTTTTGGAAAGAATTACTTCATCTCAGAGTAATGGTGCAGGTTAACATTGTTGGTCACCACCAATTCTAATAGATAAAGAAAACTGCAAAATAAATCTGTATCACTGCAGCCATGCCACAACACAGTGCTGTCTGCCAGTTCTCTAGATCACTGGCTCCCAAACCTTTTCAGCTCAAGACCCGAAAGAGAAATCTGGTCTCCCTGTGACCCAAATTTATCTAAATTTATTTTTTCATCACCAATCTCACAAATGATCTTTACTCTGGCCTTAGTGCCATTCTGAGGTCATGCTGAGCATTGAGTGTGTTTCTGAATTAGTTTTTCAGGTATGACGGAGTCGGAAAGCCAGATTCACACAAGTATGTTGAGACATTGAATCAACACATCTTAAAGGATTCTTCTTTGCGAAGGAAAAAAATGTTTGGACTTTCCCAGATACAATGAATGTTTCATTTGGAGATACCTGTCCAATTTATCCATTTTAAAACCGTCATTACTGTGCACTTCCCCACATACTACAGAGTGAAGCATCTATAAACTTGTCCTTGTACTTTAGATTAGACAACATTGGATCGACAGTGACAGCCATAAAATTCTGTATGAATGTGGACAGAAGATCTTGTTAGGGAAAAGAGAGAGAGAAAACCTCACACAGCATATGAGCTGAACAGACCAGTGTAGCAAAAAAGAACACTCATTCACATATTTACATATTTTATTAGATTAAAACATTGTTATGAATTTCAATCTACCAATTGGCACCCAATGAAAATGGGCCAGTTACCCACTTTGGGTCCCTACCCTAAGTTTGGGAAACATGGCTCTAGATAATGGCTTTTGCCATATGAGTAATACTGTCTGTATGCATCTGTGCCTGTCACTTGTTTGTCACTTGGTCACAATTTAGCAGCAACTAAGTGACATGTATGCAAAACCAACAGCTGAGTCTGTGATTTGTGTTTCTCTAGTGTCTCTGAGTCATTTGGCTTCCTGTGTGTCAGGCGGAGAACATGGTGTTTTGAGTTTGGGTTCAGAGGACTGACACCAGTACTCTGGCCCGTTTTAGTGGCGGGGACTAACGGCCTCAGGATGGACTGTGTGTGGGACTGCACGCCTTCTCTGCTGCAACTATTTGTGTGCATTCTGCTACAACCTCGCTCTTGTAGGTGTTGCTGTTGCAGTCTAAGACTGAAGTTTGCAACTAAATTGGACAAAATTCATAGCAAACAGTCCAAAAGCCCATAAAAGGCCAATTTAAAGCTGCATAATTCCTTTCCAGAGGTGTACTGATCCACTCTGCTGGATTGGTATTGGTGCTGATACTCACCTTAGTAAGTGGATTTGCCAGATGTGACCAATCCACATTCGATATAATGTATTCATCCATGTCTAATTCATTAAAGGAGAGCCATTATACTGCTTTTCCATTCCTATGTTGTGGTTCTGAGACTCTTGTATGGCAGCTTTGCATAATTCAAAGTAAAAAATAAATAAATCTATCTTATACTGGCCCTACAGGTAGGGCTTCATTTCAGCCTCTGTCTGAAACAAGCTGTAGATGCCCCTGTCTCTTTAAGGCCCCCCCGCCTCAAAGCCCACTGCTTCTGATTGGCCAAGACCTGAACCATGTTACCAGGCTGTTGTTGTCCTGAGCGGTACAGACAGACTGAGCATAGCCGTGCGGGTCAAATGACCATATATGGAAAACCGGCTCAGTCTAGCTCCGTGTGTCTAGAACAGAGCTGTTGGTAGAAAAAGAAGTTCAAAACAGAGCGTTCAGAACAGGAGGAAATGTGGGGTTTTTACTCACATGGATTTCTTTTAAATACTTCTACCTCATTTGAAGCTTTGGCCATGTTTTAATATGAACATCTAACATCATAACATTGTAGATGGTTTATAAAATATGGAAAAGCATAATAGGTCTCCTTTAATTCAGTCAGGTGCCACAACAGTCCCTCGTACATACATTATATTCTTTACCCAGCGAGAAAGCCTCTAGGAGTTTGTATTTATACCCCCATTTAAACCTATAATAATGAATTTCAGCTGTGGAAAGTATCCAGCACAACACTTTAGTTGGAGTGGCACACCTCCCCCAAAAGCATTACGAAATGAAATTACAATCCAGACATATTTTATATGAAGTTCTTTATTAAAGTATCCCCACACCACGCTGATATTATTTGTACAGTTAGACATGTGATAGAGCCAAATAATGAAAAGGCTGTAGAATCCTATTCACTCGCTGTGGAAGGAGAATCTTGGGTCATCTTAGACCTTTTATATCACTATCTAACAAACCGTGCTAAGCTCAGTGTGTATTGTGTACTGAGCTGCTCAGAGGCCAAGCTCCAGCTAGCACAGACGTCATCACCCTGCAGCGAGTGGCTGCCTCCAGTGCTGCTTGGCATATGGAGCCATTCACAGACTGCCTCAGTAAACCGAGGCAAGGATTACACGGGTCATGGTGTGACCCACTGCAGCGCTCTCGTTAACCTCGTCCGAGGACACGACGACACCGTTGCCTTTTACAGACTGATTCAGAATCTTTCCAGCTCTTCACAACTACAAAACCAAGTCTATCATTGTGATGTGAGCTGAACCCAGCTCGGTGAGGACACACTTACAGATGATGATGCAATGTTGGTTATTGATAGCGTTGAGAAAATATATTCATTAACAACCATTGTTTTTCATGGAAAGGACAAGTTAAAGAGACAGAACAAAACACTGTCGATGTATATATTGTGTTATTCAATATAATTATAACAGTATATATTTTTTTTATTGTTAGCATTCACAACATGTCTGAATGTAAGTGAGGGACCCTCTCTCATTTTGTGTCCAATTTCTTTGTTTTCTTTTGGACTATAAACTAAAAGGTGTATTTGAATTTACTTGGTAAGCTTTGTTGCTGAGGTTTGAATACTTGGTCTCAACTATCTGTTACTGAAACAATACTGAAATGTCCAGTTGTTTTGTCATCTAAACTACTACAGTAAAAGGATGATTGTTACCAACACAAGACTGAATGTAGTTTTAGTCAACTAAAAACTGACAAAAAACTGGAAGGTTGAAGTTGCTAAATATGACCAAAACGCACATGGATTTCTGCTCTGAGGATTATCAATACCTGAGAAAATTAACACTACATCAAACAAAAGCCAGCTACACGTTGTCAGTGAACCTCAGACATATCCACCTTGAAAAACTAAATGGTTGTTGTTGTAAGTCTATGTTGGGGAAAAACCACAGAACTAAAAGTGTTCCTTATACCCGGTGTGCAGGAGGCAGACACAGATGACAACCAGGGGACGTTGGACTTTGAGGAGTTCTGCTCCTTCTACAAGATGATGTCGACTCGCCGAGATCTGTACCTCCTCATGCTCACCTACAGCAACCACAAAGACCATCTGGATACAGACGACCTGGCCCGCTTCCTGGAGACCGAGGAGAAGGTACTCGCTGTGCATTTTAGCTATTCAGTTTCTACTAAGACATTGACATTGACATTAAAAAGTTACTCCACTGATTTATCATTGCACTCCTATGACATTGTCAGACTCACAATAATTCTGAGATTAAGATAAAGAGCTGAGATTATTAAAGATACGCTATCACAGTCTGCAGGCTGAATTGCCATTTAGTTTTACTTCATTAGTCCTTCTTTTTTGCTTCACTTGATGGAAATGATACCCTGAGTGCTACTCTGGGTAGAGTCATCAGTTGTATTTATTTAAAACTTGCAGACAAGTAGGAGTGCAGAGCCTAAAAAACAAAAGCTGCTGTTCCTAAACACAGTCTGTAAGCAGAGCAATGGAATATAGCTCTGGCACACTCAGACGAGTGGTGAGCAGCAGGTTAGTTGCCAAATCTCTTTATTAAGTATTACCTACTTCAGGATGGTGAACACTGGTTCAACCTGCATTTAGCCTTGAGAACCGGACTGGTGCTGGGATAATCTTATTACTTTATTCACTGGGGTAATATCCTCATCCAACACTACATTTTTTGGGGGTTGTCATGAATGTAGGTTGCGGTACAGACTGTAGTCTTGCCATTCTTATCCCGTGCACATTTTATAGCCTAGAAAGCCAATCATCTTCTTTTAATAACCGAGGAAGGAAACATATTTCAGCCTATCGTGTGGTTCCACTGACGTAAGGGGTCTACTGCGCATGCTTCACTATTAATGCGCAATAGAAGTATAAGTGGTCAGGAAAAAAGCTTTTTAAAACTTATTTTGAGGCAAAGTCGTCAAACTTTCTCAGTGATTTTTATCAGATTTTATTGCTGTTTCTAGTCATGTAGTTTTTATGTCCTGATGACCAGTAAAAGTGCAGTTCGTTCATTCATTCAGATAGGAGCCTGGTCTTGTAAGTCCGAAATAGCTGCCTGGAGGCGTTGCCAAGATGGCTGCCGAGTGGCATGACTTGCCTTATAAGGACTTTGCATATACTCATATCATGAAAGGTATAGTACATTATGAAAAATACACTTTTTCACTTTCTCTCTGAGAGGCAGATGTTTAGATGGAAATCAACCTCGTGTCTCAAGTACAGAGTCAGCGCATGGTTGGCCTAGCTTAGTAAAATGATTTGATGCAGAGGGAAACCTCTAGCCTATCTCTTTCCAAAGTGGAAAACCTACAACACCCCTAATTCTCACTAATTAACGCTTTGTATCTCATTTGTTTAGTCCGAACACAAACAGAAATGCTTCCTGAAGTCTTGTTGTCAGGTTTGGTGCAATCGTGCCTGTACAGAGAGCAGAACTTGAACTCGCCGACCATGTCTGGCAACATACAATATAGCCACTGCACAGACACAGTCATGTGACACAGTCTGCACAGAAGTATTGAGTGGATAGATACCCTTTTGTTTGTCAAGAAGTAGTTCCAACCAAGAGACAACCTTGAGCTCTCACGAGTGAAGCGCCAGTGCGGAAGAGCCTTAAACCTGCATTTCTTTCTAACAGCCAGCACGAAGCAACGCCACTGGTTGCAGAAAGAAGTGTGATTTACATAGAAGTCTGAGAAAATGAAGGTACTTCTCAGCTGATTTTATTACCTCAGTAAACACTTTCCTAATGAGTTATGGTCTCAGTCTTTTTGTGAATACTTGAATAAAATGCTATAGTTAAAAACAAAGATGAATTGGTTGGGAGGATCATGGATGTTGCTGTTGCTATCCATCCATCCATCCATCCATCCATTGTCAACCGCTTATCCTGCATACAGGGTCGCTGGGGGCTGGAGCCAATCCCAGCTTACATTGGGCGAAAGGCGGAGTACATCCTGGACAGGTCGCCAGTCCATCGCAGGTGTTGCTATCATCCCAATTTACCAATTCAGTAGAGGCTAATTAGTGCTCAAGGCCCTGAAAAGGTGCTCCGTCATGGGCTGCTGTAGGAAGTTAGGCAGAAGTTCGTTTTGTTTCTGCTCTTTCATAGTTTTGTCGACTAAATACCCAAAAGGCTTATTGGTTTTTGCTTCTGTGAGGTGGGAAGTCAAAAGCTTGACCGAGTAGCCATTGGGCCTCTTAAGTGGTGCTTAAAATACAGAAATGGAGACAATATGAGCTCTACAGGGAAATGAGCATTAATGCCATCACAGCACTGCAGATGCAGTTGTAAAGGGTTTTTGGATGAAGTATATCTCCTCGCTAATGATACCATCGCCTGAAAAAGGAAAAATAAGCAAATGACTGCAACAGCTTGATTTGCTTTAAACACCCAGCGTGTGCTCCTTCAGCTAATTAGCCCTCTGGCAGGCAAATTCATGTATAGGAACAGGCATAGTAAAAGCGGAAGGCTCTGTTTGGATAGCTAGACGTCAGCTCTCCACTTAAGGTTAATTTTCCTCCACTTACACTCGGTGTTTAGTTCTGGCACTGTGAATAAGATGGTTTTCCTTCTCCTGTTATTGGAGAGTCGTGGATGTCTTTGTGCCTCTAATAACAAATAGGATGATGTGAAACACTCTGGTTTGTGTATTCAGGTGTGTGTTTAACTGTGTGTCTTACTTTATTTCTCTGGAACTGACTGAAATGTGTTAATGGCAAACTAGCTCGTATTTGTTCCCACGCAGTCAACACTAAACTATGTTATGAAGGTTTGGTGAAGCAAGACAAATGAAGGTAGTCAGACCAAATGTATACACAGACCTTTGCAACTAACACATGATTAGATCAGTCATTATACTTTATTATCTTCTACATCACAGAGGGTTCTGGTTTCCAGACCACCAGCCAGCTGCTCAAACAATACGGCTAGTAGCCTATAAAACGTTGATGGGATGGAGGTGAAAATAACTTTTCTCACAGCACCACAGCATTTTCCAGGATACTTATTAGACAGATAAATAGATATATATGGAATAACACCAGTAAATGAACGTAGTATAATGTAAAAACAAATGTCAAGTTATACAAGAGTGAAAACTTAAAAAAGTGTAACCTTTTTAAGTATGTACATGCAAACAGCATGCAAATTGCAGTAAGGTTTTGCAAAATGTGTGTATGAGTTCAAAGTCAAAGGGTTGTCTCAGAAGTTACAGAAAATGTCAATATAAAAGTTAGTGAGTCCAGTAAGACTTCAGCAGCCTCCCAGTCAACTGATGTCCACGCTGCGACACAGCAGGTGAGCTGAACGCTGTGATGGCCATCAACAGGAATGATCTCCTGTGCTGCTCGGGGAACTTTGGCTGAAGACACTCCTTTTCTCAGCCAGCATATTGAAGCCAAACCAAACTTTGTGTTTGCTGTGGTCCGCCATTGTCAAGGAATGGAAAGAAAAGGACTGTCTTCATGCTTTGTTGACCTACTGTGTAACAAATGATGTGACGTTAGAAAGTTAGGAACCAAGAAGCAGAATCCAAACGTGTCTTATCCAATCAACGGTTCTTTTTGGTACTGAAAAACCCAACTTAGGCCTACTGGTAGCTGCTGTCATCGCTTTACACGTGTGTCATTGGTGTCAACAGGTCTTTCAGTTCTTGTAGCATTTGTTAATGTTAATTTTAGTGTTTTCAGGTGATTACACAATGTCTTCTGCCAACAAAAAATGCACTTCAGAGCAGCTGTCATCGCTCTGTAAGTGCGCCAGTGTTGAGCTTACGGCGGCCTGTGAGCTCTCTGCTTTTTGGTGCTGGCCCACATTAACAATGCATATGAACTAACCTCTACTGAGTGTCTGGATTTACTCTCCACACAGCATTCTCTCATTGTGTGTTAGCACCTATTGTTCTTTGACATGCATTTCTGTGATTTGTAGATGACCAAGGTGACCAAGGACCATTGCCTGGAGATTATCAACAAATTTGAGCCGTGCTCTGAGAACCAGAAGCAAGCAGTTTTGGGAATTGATGGTAAGTTTCAGTTCTTCACCATCAAGCTCTCTGGTGTTTGGAACTAAACTGTTCACCAATTGTGCCGATGACTGGCACTTGGTGTAGCCAATAAAATTCTGAAAATAACGATATCCAGCTTTAAGTAGGAAGTTCGTGATCAAAAAACATCTGCATCAAGCTACAGTGTGATGCAGAAGCAGCCCCTTGCGACCTAGGGGCAGTGCAGTTTTTGAAAAAAATATGCTAAGTCATATCCTTATGGTATAGGTATAAAATTTTAAATTGGACTAGGTAAGGCTTTATGCTGTGGCCCTACAGTGTTTTCCAGTTAATAATCCCAGCTGTAGTTTGCATGGAAACAAGAAATATTACTTTTAGTGTGTTTAAACTTATATTAATCAATTCCAGTAGCACTTACAGTGATTCTGACTTTTGGGTTAGACACTTCAGATTGTTATCTTTCAGAGAAGCCCTAAAACCATGCATATATGCAATGGTTCAAGAACTGCATTCAATGAACTTTAGATATGCCTTGAATAAGCGTTTAAAATGAATTTTACAGGAATGGTAAGACGTTACCGTTACTGACACGTTTCTGTTACTCTATTTTACTACCCCATTTCTGTAGACTAGAGAATAGAAACACCTTTGTGTATAGTTTAATAACACTCTCTACATCTTCCAAAATTATCATACGGTTGAATTGCCACCTCTCTTAAACTGTTTAAACAAACTGCATTCCTAAGAATTTCATATGACTTGACTTGTGATTTGCTTGACCCAAGCAATGACTTGACTTGACTTTCATCACAGTAACTTGGGACTTGCTTGAGACTTGAAGGTTAAGGCTTGAGACTTGAAGGTTAAGGCTTGAGACTTGCTTGTGACTTAGACATGTGTGACTTACTCCCACCTCTGGTGAGTGCTACTAATGTTAATAAGGGCATACTACTGTTTTGGTTTGAAAATAAAAGTTAATTTATAACTAGTGATTTTATGTGAGATGTATGTCTTTTCTTGTTAATGTAATACATTTCATTCTCCTCAATCAATGAAGAAATGAGAGTGAAATGTTGAATTTGAGTTGTTCTGTCTGACCAACAGTCAGAACAGAATTGAGAGTAAAATGATAAAAGTTGGACACGCCCTTTTTTATAACTTTCTTCCAGGTTTTACAAATTACATGCGCAGCCCAGCAGGGGATATCTTCAACCCAGAACACTACAACGTGAACCAGGACATGAACCAGCCGCTGTGCAACTACTTCATCGCCTCCTCACACAACACCTACCTGATGGGTGACCAGCTGATGTCCCAGTCCAGGGTGGACATGTACGCCTGGGTGCTGCAGGCCGGCTGTCGCTGCGTAGAAGGTCAGCATGACGTAGACGTGCACAGGGCCGTATTGGCAAATGCCTGGGTGGGCCGCCGGTGTAACATTAATTATTTAACGGGCCAACGAATGGCCCATAAAGCACGGACAGCGGCCCATTGGGTGATTTTATTTATTTTTTTATACTGACACTGGGCCGGCCCAATCACATCTCTTACTCGCCCCCACCCCCTCTGTTTTCTGTTCCTATTCCTGTTGTTACCCCTCCAAAAAAAAAAAAAAAAACCGAATGAAACTCAACAACGACATAAAATATATTTTCCATATTACACTAATATGCATTAATCTTTATGACGCAGCCTGTCTCGCAGCTCTTCAGAGAGCGGAGCCTACTCGCAATACTATTGCTACATTTTGTTTGAAGTTCACGTAACGTGACCCCCCGCGGTTACTGCCTGCCTGCACAGAGAGAGAGAGAGCGCAATTTTTAATTTGTCCCAAGCAAAATTGTAATCAAATCATTCAAATATAAATGTTGTCGGTCAGAGTCTAGTCAATGTACTTACACAAACGGTTAACAGTCGCCACAAAGTAGTGAGAGAATAACATGACGCACATGACCACAGACACCTGTCACTCTGTCTCTCTGTCCCCCTCGCTCAGAGACCCTTTGCTCTGTTTGAGTGTCTTTCTGCTCCAGGTTGCTTCATTCCCTCTGAAGTGGCTGTGAGCTGAACTTGATCAGAGGTGCTGAGGTGAACGTGTGTGGATGTGTGGTAATATTTCTGTCTGATCACAAGTGTTTTCAGTTTTGGTTTTCTACCTCTGATGAAGAGCAGTGTGCTCGGCTAATCCAGTATAGTCCCAGACAGGCACTCTTTCTGTCAGACAGTCTAAAGGGGGTAGCAGCCTACTACCATATCAGCAGAGCAATAAGGCAGGGTAATGCGCAGTAGTGGGGCAGGTAGATTTTGTTAAAATATAATGACTTCATTCTCATTATATCTCGTAATATTATATCTCAAATTGTTATTCTGCAAATGTCAGACAACACCGATACGTGGAAGAGATTTTTAATGCGCAGAAAGTTTTAAACATGAGCAGAAAAGCTGCTGAATCATAGGAGCTATTAAGGTGCAGGGATTTATAACTGAATTAAAATGAATTCATTGATCATTGAGGTGAAAAGGTGCAACGTGTCGTGTATATTTAAAGACTTCAGGTTACTTCAGTCTGCGTGTGTGTTGACGAAGCAGGGATGAAATAAAATATAAAACAGGAGAAACATATTTGACAGCAATACAGAATGCCTGAGAGCCTTGCCGCTCTATATTACACTATATTTTTATTTTTTGAATTGTCACCTGAATCTTGTTTCCTTTTTATATAAATAAAGACATTTCCTTAATGAATTGGTGCAGAAAAATTCACCAGAATGCAGGAAATGAAGTGTTTAAAGCCCAAATTTTTCAGGGGGAGGACCCCCCAGACCCCCGTTTTAGACCTTTTTTTAATTTTTTTTTTATTATTGTCTGTAGTAATTATGAAAATCATTATAAATGTAATTAAAGGCCTATGATATTTAATAATTAATAAGTGGCTCAATGATTTATAGGGTTCAGTTAAAATGGCATAACAAGGTAGCTGTTTTTGAGGGTTGATACAAGTATGTCTCCAGAATGCAGGAAATTAAGTATTTAATGTTTAAAATCTTCTGGGGGACCACCCTGAGACCCCCCTATCTACTATTTCATCAATATATTTGTTTTCCCAAATACTAAGCCTATTAAAATATATTGTTGTCTTGTTGCCATGGTCCCATTATTTGTGCAGTGTCAGGACTCATGGGCTAAGAGTTTTGTCAAACCCCTAATCTAAGCCCTTAAAAGCAAGGATTGTATATTGATGACCGATTTTGGTGGGCGTACACTTACAGCATATACAGGCGCGGCTAACACGGGGTTCAAACATGCTGATACTTTCACACTGAAGCAGCTATTTATTCAAACAGCTCGCTGTGCACAAGAAGATTTAAGGGAAGTAAAGGATTCTTCCTAATAAGGCAAATTATCAGCTCATGCAGCATTATACTGAATCTGAATCCAGCTTTGAATTCTTTCCAATCCCTTATCAAATCTTTTAGGTATTTTTGTTGGTTCGAAATTAAGATTTCTGTTTCTATTTTGCTCCGTATCATTCTGAACCTGAGCCATGGAGACTGCTGTGCCAAAGAACGGAGAGGAAATGTGCTACAGCTGCTACAAGAAAAACAAAACTGTGGAAATAATATTAATTCTACTTTATCATTCAGCAAACACCTAAACAATCAAAGACTGTTCTGCGTGCACAATGCAATTTACGTTACCTCAAGTTAAACTGTTGAATCTGACGAATCACAGTGTAATGTACGTAAGTAATTACATGATGGACAGATGGTAGATTTAGATGGAAGACTTGTTGTCCCCCCTGTCCTAATGGGGCAGTTGTTTGGTTGACCTTGTGTCTCCACACTTTGAAACATTAAAATAATAATGTAATAAACAACTCATGTCCAGTGGACATTAGAGGTAAACACAGTTACAGTCTCTGCTACACAGTTTAGAAAAATGTTTGTTTGAGTGAGTGAAGGAGGGAAGCAGACATGTGGTGGAGGATGGCTCCCATTATGTACTGTAAAAAGGTCACCAGCCACTCCACTGCTGACGCCAACAGAAACCACAGTGAACTGGGGTCCATAACGGTGTCTTGTAAACATGCCTGCAAGAAGGTGGTCATCTAGAATGAATGTTTGGTTGAAACTGCACACGTGGACATCATTGTGCATTTTATTTGGTACTAATTCAAACACACATAGTACTTGTTAGTAGATGCATTCAGAGTTGGGTTTAGGTGGGCTTTATTTTAGGTCAGGACAGTTTTAACAGGAACTTTTTGAACTGGATGCCATCATTAGTTTAGTCCTGCTCACGCTGCCTCTTCTTTCTGCTTCCTGTCCACAGTGGACTGCTGGGACAGTCAGGACGGCGAGCCCATCGTCCACCACGGCTACACCCTCACCTCTAAGATCCTCTTCAAGGACGTCATCGAGACTATCAACAAGTACGCCTTCGCCAAGAATGAGTACGTCTACACACACACACACACACACACCCACACCCCATTTATTTATTTTACGCGTTCAGTCACATTCCAATGGATCAGTTTCATTATTCATTGTCTGTTCATCGACGGCAACCATTAGGCCTGTGTGTGTGTGTATACTTGGAAAACAACCGCAGCGGTGTGTGGACATGCATGCTGTCAGTACACATAACTGTGCTGCAGTACACAGGCTGTTGGTTTGTACAACTGGGGACAAATGTGGAATTGAGCTTGGAATTCAGGTGTAGTTTTACAATATAAAACCGCACTTGACCGTTTGCTGGTGGGAAGCTAGCAGAGCAAGTCAAAGGAGGAGGTGTGTGTTTAGATTTCACTTGATAAAACTGTGAACAGAAGGTGTATGTGAAGGCCTCTGCTCCCCAGCACCGTATCTTACCTCAGCTCCGTTTCACATTGTTGTATTCAAAAAGCCACGGCCACTGTTGAACCATCAAATCACATAAAGGATAAGTTTAAAATCCCTACAGTAACTAAACCCAACCCATGTGTTCCATTTCAAGCTGAAATATGTCAGTTACTGGATAAAGATGCTCTAATTTGTGTTTGTATCTAATAAAGATGCATGAGTATGACAGACACTCATTGGTTCAGCTCTGTGGGTATTTTGTCGTTTACATACTCTGCTCTGACCGGACAGTTGTTTTGGGACGTAGATGACGTCCTACACATGACAGAGGAGGTCATTTCCTGGTGCATGGTGTTTCCCAAGTACAGAAAAGCTTAGTTTGCACTTGTTGTTAACGCTGTACACAATGTTGCATCTGCTGACTCCTCCTGCAGAGCTGAGTAGTACACAACTCTTTTCCCATATCTGTGGGCATTAAAACGAGTGTGATTGGCTCTTGCATTGCATCAGAAGACTTGCATAAAGTTGAGCTTTTCTCAGCTTTCTGTAGCACTGCTGGCCTCTTTTTTTTTCGTTTCTGTAGCTCAGCGGGCTCGGACGCATCCCACAGCTTTTGAGTCCACATGTGTGGAGCACTCAAAGATCTCTCTCACTGGGTAGATCTGGTGACGTTGAAGGCCATACCATATGATCCACATCATGTTCATACTCTTAGAAATGATCAGTGACTCCTCAGGGTCGGCTGGAAGCTGCACTTATGTTTCTTGATGTGTATATATACACTGCTCAAAAAAATAAAGGGAACACTAAAATAACACATCCTAGATCTGAATGAATGAAATAATCTCATTAAATACTCCTTTCTTTACATAGTTGAATGTGCTGACAACAAAATCACACAAATATTATCAAATTTATCAACCCATGGAGGTCTGGATTTGGAGTCACACTCAAAATCAAAGTGGAAAACCACACTACAGGCCGATCCAGCTTTGATGTAATGTCCTTAAAACAAGTCAAAATGAGGCTCAGTAGTGTGTGTGCTGGTGCATGAGGTGGCGGATGGTCTCCTGAGGGATCTCCTCCCAGACCTGGACTAAAGGATCCGCCAACTCCTGGACAGTCTGTGGTGCAACGTGCCGTTGGTGGATGGAGCGAGACATGATGTCCCAGATGTGCACAATTGGATTCAGGTCTGGGGAACGGGCGGGCCAGTCCCTAGCATCAATGCCTTCCTCTTGCAGGAACTGCTGACACACTCCAGCCACATGAGGTCTAGCATTGTCTTGCATTAGGAGGAACCCAGGGCCAACAGCACCAGCATATGGTCTCACAAGGGGTCTGAGGATCTCATCTTGGTACCTAATGGCAGTCAGGCTAGCTCTGGCGAGCACATGGAGGGCTGTGCGGCCCCCCAAACAAATGCCACCCCACACCATTACTGACCCACCGCCAAACCGGTCATGCTGGAGGATGTTGCAGGCAGCAGAACGTTCTCCACGGCGTCTCCAGACTCTGTCACGTCTGTCACATGTGCTTAGTGTGAACCTGCTTTCAACTGTGAAGAGCACAGGGCGCCAGTGGCAAATTTACCAATCTTGGTGTTCTCTGGCAAATGCCAAACGTCCTGCACGGTGTTGGGCTGTAAGCACAACCCCCACCTGTGGACGTCGGGCCCTCATACCACCCTCATGGAGTCTGTTTCTGACCGTTTGAGCAGACACGTGCACATTTGTGGCCTGCTGGAGGTCATTTTGCAGGGCTCTGGCAGTGCTCCTCCTGCTCCTCCTTTCACAAAGGCGGAGGTAGCGGTCCTGCTGCTGGGTTGATGCCCTCCTATGGCCTCCTCCACATCTCCTGATGTACTGGCCTGTCTCCTGGTAGCGCCTCCATGCTCTGGACACTACGCTGACAGACACAGCAAACCTTCTTGCCACAGCTCACATCGATGTGCCATCCTGGATGAGCTGCACTACCTGAACCACTTGTCTGGGTTGTAGACTCCATCTCATGCTACCACTAGAGTGAAAGCACCACCAGCATTCAAAAGTGACCAAAACATCAGCCAGGAAGCATAGAAACTGAGAAGTGGTCTGTGGTCACCGCCTGCAGAACGACTCCTTTATTGGGGGTGTCTTGCTAATTGCCTATAATTTCCACCTGTTGTCTATTCCATTTACAACAGCATGTGAAATTGATTGTCAATCAGTGTTGCTTCCTAAGTGGACAGTTTGATTTCACAGGAGTGTGATTGACTTGGAGTTGCATTGTGTTGTTTAAGGGTAGAGGGGGGGTACATACGTGTGTGCGTGTGTGTACACACACATGTATGTGTGTGTGTGTGTGTGTGTGTGTGTGTGTGTGTGTACACCCCTCACACTACATGATCATTTGCCATACCATATATTTATTTATATATTTACTTAATTACCCATGAGGTAATCATTTATTACAGTCCACTTTCTACCTCCACCAAGTTGAGCATCTTGTTTTGTTTGAAAGTAAGAATGCATTGTGATTATAATTTAAAATTCTAAATTATGTGAAGAACTGTAATTCTCAAATGTTCTACCTTTTTGTGTCAAGTCAACAAGAATCTGAATCTTTAATGATGACACTGTAAACTCAGCCAATACAGATTTACAGAGAAAAGAAACCTCCTCAACCTTTCAACCCTGTAACTCCAGCCTGTTGTGTGTGTGTGTGTGTGTGTGTGTGTGTGTGATGATCTCCCAGCTACCCAGTCATCCTGTCCATAGAGAACCACTGCAGTGTCCCTCAACAAAAGAAGATGGCCCAGTACCTCATTGAGATCCTGGGGGACAAACTGGACCTGTCCAACATCAAAGCTGATGAGTCTGGATGGCTGCCATCACCAGAAATGCTCAAAGGCAAGATCCTCGTCAAGGTAAAGTCAGAGCATACGGTTCGGATGTATAACAAGTGACTGATTCTCCGTGGGAAGAGTAGTCAGTCCTCAGGCGATTATCTCAGCTCACTGTTTTTTGTTTTTTTTATCTGGAATTTGAACCTCAAAGAACAGACTTCAAAGGCGGCAGACAGTGGGAAGAGATGTAATTTAGAAAGTGTTTGAATACGACATGTTTGGGAGAAGAGAATGGAAAAGCAAAATTTGCCTGTAGGAACGATGAACTGCATGTAGTAACTGCAGACTGCTCGCTGGTTATTATGAAAAAACAATATCCTGAGTCCAGCAGACGAGAGATAAACTAGTTAAATGTGTTGCTGGCTGCGGGTCAGGAGTGGTCTTCGCTTCACAGCTCTGAGGTGATAAAAATGCTGCTATGCGGATCTTTCTGTGGCGGTGCTCAGGTGGCTCTGGGTTTTGCCTCTCAGGCCTTTTCTACAGCAGGAAATGAGCAACCCATAACCTGGAGTTTTCACAGTCTGAACATAGAAGGACCTTGTGCGGTTTCTTTCTTTTTCATTGTAAACTCAGACTCACCAAAGATAATACAGCAGAGGGGCTCATTTCTAGGTTTGATGGATGAGTTAAATCAGCGGATGTGGGACAGAATGGGAAAAGTGGTGCTGTTGTTGTGATTTAAATGCCCCCCCCCCCCCCCCCCCCTTTTATTTGATACTTGACAGATTTGAGATACAGAAGAAGAAACAGAGGGAGAGAGTGGTGAAGATGTCCACCACACACACATAAATCAGTTGCTCTACTTATTGTTTTTGACTGGACAATTGACTCCAGCTCTCTCTCCACGAATACTAATGAGGGCCTGGACATTGTCCAACAAACATTTCCATTGCTGGTTTCTTTGTGCTGATTGCCCTGCTCCTGCAGATGCATTAGTAATGCAGTAGCATTTAGTATCACCACCTAAACAGAGCTCCAGACGCTCGTCCCTGAAGTGGGCAACAACACATCACTTAGTTCCAGCAGTGGAAATGGGCTGCACTAATCCTTGGTGTAGTTTACTGGGACTGTATGCAAAATTTCTTGAGACAATAACTGATGACAAATGACATTTATTTATTTTTTTGTAGTTACATGTAGCTTTATAGACGAACCGCCACAACTAAAACCAGCAGCTTCCGTTAGTCTCAGGGTAGTATTAGTGGTCACAAACAGCACAGTATCGTGTTTATGATGTCTTATGTGGTCATTGTGAAAGCCCATAGCTGATGTAAACCATCTGTCCGGGTTGGCACTGTGGCCGAGTTTGTAATGTAAACCATTAAAGCAAAGTTAGTTTCACACATGACTTTAACCAACAGAGGCAGGAGAGCAGCAGCAGCCCTCTGTCAGCAGGAGAGGGAACAATAGTGAGGTTAATGAAGCTTTGCTGACACCAGATGCTTTCCCTAAAGAGAGGGCACCTTGCCAATACCTGGCACGCTAAGGACTGCTCAGCCAGCTGTTCCACCTGCACTACTTCATGTGTTAGTGATGGCACCAATATGTAAGCACTGTGAGGAGCACTCTGGCTTTCCCACTGCCCTACAACCCTGTAGGTCCCAGGGTCAGACCATGTCATTCACACAGTGCTGCTGCAGGCCGCCACCTCCATGAAACTGGGACTGAGAATGAATGCTAACCACGGGCTAAACTACCCTCACTTGTTAATGAAAAGTGTTTGTCATTACAATGTGAAGCTCTGCTGACCCGTTCTGTTTCTCCACCAGGGGAAGAAGCTGCCTCCCAACATCGACGAGAATGCAGAAGAGGGAGACGTGTCGGACGAGGACAGCGCTGATGAGATGGAGGACGACTGTAAGCTGATGAACGGAGATGTATGTACCCTGTTTGGCCTTTTGCTCCACTTCTACCTGCCAGAGTCACAGGCGGGCGTTATGTCCTCGCATCCAGCAGATGAAATGTGAATTGTTCGTGTATTTCCTGTTCTTGATGGTTCCTGGTGTTCTGCTCTACTCTCCTGCCTTTGATCTCCTGTACTGCTGTCTCTGCTGTTTGCTTCTGTCTCTTTCTGTCTGTGTGGCTATTTGTTCTCATTTCCTGCTCTTCTCTCTTCCTGTTTGTCATCCCTTCTTCTTCTCTTCAACTGTTGCTTGCTTCTTTCAAAGTGGAAGGTATTGTATAAAAAGCTCATCCTCAGAAATCTCACCCAGTCATGTTACCATACTGTCTCATCCTGCCTGTGAAGGTTTGGCCCAAAGACACTTCAGACACCATTACATGTGTTGTCTAAGGATTAATATTATTATTATTATTATTATTATTATTTAATACCAGTCATAAGCATTACATCGACAATATTGAGCACTGTTTGAGTTTAAGAACTAGCTGGCAGGGTTTGGACGGCAGGTGTTAGAGTTAGCAGCCAGCTACAGGATGGACAGTGTTTCCAGTGGGATTGTCTCCAAATTGTGAGATTAGAGACTAGCTGGGAAGAATTACATGAATTGTACAACACTAGCTCTGTGGAATTAGCTGATGACTCATTTATTTGGTAATAAATATCAAATTTTTTGAAAACAGTGGAAAGTGAGCAGCTTATGGAAGTTTGTCTTACTAAGTTAAGTTTGCTTAAAGTTATTGCTGCTGATTATAAGAGAGGACATTTTAGGATGGACCAACGTGGCCTGTGTTTTCTTACCTATGGCAAATAATCCTTTTGATGAAAGATTTTTCATTCTGCAGGAATAAACTCTCTGGAGCATGTGGCTGTTGCTTTTGGTGTGTCTACAGACTGAAGTGGTTTATGGATACACTCTGCCACCATGTGGCTGAAGTGAGCATATGAATATTGCTCTAAGCAAGGCATTGAGCAGTGATCTCTCAATAGGACATGATTTATTCCACTTTATCTTTATAAAGGATGTCCCACTGTCATGCAGTCACATGTGGAAATGCTTACACTACTAAACAGTCCATTTACCAGTCAGTCTGGGAGGTTCTGCATTTATAACATAATAGACATTCATCTTTGCTCCTTATGAAATGTGAGTTCTTGTTGGAATCCTGCATGATGTGGTAATCTAGTCTGTTCAGAGCAGAGGCCTACAGGAATTGCTGCAACTAACAATTTTTTTTCATTGTTGATTATTCTCTTGATAAACTGTCAAACTGTTGAAAAATGTTGATCAGTGTTTCTCAGAGCCTCAAACATTTTGTTTTGCACACAACCCAAAGATATTCCGTTTACTGTCACAGAGGAGAACCAGAAAATGTTCACATTTAAGTAGCTGAAATCAGACATTTTCTCTTAAAATGACTAAATGATTAAGCAATTAATTTAATAGTTAACAACTAATTAATTAATCATTTAACCTTTGCAGCTCTAACACAAATGTGATTATAGTCAGATCTACTCGTGTCCTAATGATGTGGCATTGATATTATCAGCCTGTTAACTTCCACATTCTCTGTCATATTTTGCCAGCTCTCCTTCCTACAGATGGCAGCTGCAGCTTTGTTGCTTTCAGCTTGGATCAGTTGTGTGCTTAACTTTGTATTTGTCGAATATTATATTTTGCTCTTGGTTTGGCTGCCAGTAGACTTGTCCATGTTTGGTCATCTGCTGAAAACATCATCTCTTTTGGGAAACACTGAACATGGCTAGGTTGGGGAAACCCTGGGTCGACGAGTTGATAACCAGCGTCGTGATCGTGGTTGTTAGACCTGGCTAGAGCTGTATCATTTGGAGAAAAAGTCATTGCGATTATTGTGGACAATATTGCGATTCCATTATAATGGAACAAATGGTACTATGAGTCTACTTGCTTAAATATCAAAGAATGCGTGAAATACTGATATTTTGAACAACTAAAACAGATGTAAAACAGAACAAGGGGAGTGTGTTGCTCTACGTAGGAGGTGGCTAGAACCAGCAAATATTGGCACACTGGCACCAGCTCAATGTACATCTGTCTAATGGAGAATCTCTATCCATAACCTGGAGGAGGAACTGTACATGAGTGTATTATATAAAATAAAGAGAGTGTAAGTAAAGAGTGTAATGTTTAGTTAATAGTTTACTGTTAGTATAACAGTAATATATTAAATACTAAATTCATTAGAATTTCATATAGGGCCTAATAGTATACTTTTTACCAGTTTGTTGAGTATTAAAACCAGTTACAGCCGTTTCATTTTTGTGGGTGTTTTTTTATTTTATTTTTATTTAATCCATATGCAAGCAAGAGGCTCTAAATTTGTCTCTAATTTATTAATGCTACCTACTAACTTGTCAATAATCATATTGTTCAACATTTAATGAGTTGCTGTAGCACATCAAACCTTTTTTAATGTTCCGCCCCATCCAGGCTGTGATCGGTCAGTTGACGAAAAGTCACCGACAAGCACATCGGCTCCATACAGCTAACGTTAAATGGCCAGCGAGCCAAACCTTCCTTATCTTCCCAAGTGAAAAAGAAATTTGCACTTTTTTGGGATGCACTTAGTATAATTAAAATATGATAAGTTACACTTATCATATATTAAATGTGTTATTTTGGAACAACTTAAAGTATGTTAAGTGTCATTTTAGAAATACTTAAAGTCAACTTTAAGATAATTGCAATATATTTTAATATACTTAGTTGTGTTAAAATGGACCTACTTTAAGTACCTTTACTGTAATTTAAATATACTGACTTTATTTTGTTTAAAGTTGCTGAAACACAATATGATGTCATGTCCAACTGTTCTGATGATGCTAACTGTTTAGGTTCAGGTGAAATGGTTTTCCACAAGGGACCCCCTCCCAGTTAATGTTCAGTTCTTCCATTACAACATGATCAAAAACATTACATAAACACTACAGTACATTCAGCCAAGGAGCTGTATATGATGAAATGTTATTAAACAGGTACAACAAATAACAAATATTCAGACTTGCTTAACAGCTGTGCTGTCTACATGTCGTTTCACATTAACACAGCTGTCAATTTGTGAAGTACAAAAGTAGCCAATTAATGTATAACAATATTTTAAATATAATTATTTTTTCACAAGAATATTTGTTTTTGTCTGACCCCGTTGACCTGTAGTGAGAGCAAAAACATTGATGGTGTGCAGGAGCCAGACATACCTATGAGCACATTGAGCTTGTGAGGGTCCAGCTGGTCCTTTGAGATTTTCGTGGCCTCTGAGTGAGGCAACGATCCCAGGAACCCCTAAAGGAAAAGAAATGCAGTTGCAACTGAGATATTATAAATATTCAGTTAGGCCAGTACTTCCACCTAATTTAGTTCTTCATTTGCGTATCATTATAAACACTAATTCTATTCTTATAGCAAATCTTTATTATTCTTTATTTAATTTTCTTGAGCTAAGGCAGGAAATTCCAACTCTGGGTTTAGCATTAAGTTGGTTAAAGTTGGCAAAGGGTAGGTTCAACTTCTAAAAGTTGAATACAGTATCTATGACCATACAAATGTACATAAAGTTGAGCAGTATTTTACATAACATCACATGCTATTATATCGTGTGGTCAGGCATTGCAGTACACAAAAACATTATATCAAGCGTGTCTTAAAACAATTCTCACATACGCGTGTACACTTTAACATTGCTGTTATAACAGAGTTATTGGTCACTGTAATGATTACCCCCTCCATGGTTACAGTGAAGATAAATATCTAAAAAAAACAGTGTAGCTTTTAGAAGAGTGCTAATGCAGATTGCTTAGCTGATGATTCATAGTACCTTCAGCTAAACTTTAGAATGAATACAAAATAACTTACTATAAACATGGACATGTGAGTATTAAGGACTATAAAAATGTGAAGCTATTCTTTAGCACACAGACAGCAACATATTAGTTGCATTTATTTCTCTGATTAAAAACCTCACTGGTCATTTTAACAGTGCAAAAGCAGAATTGAGGGCTCACACACACATGAGCAGGCCTGCCTTGTTAAAATCTCATGCATCAAATTTCAGCAACAGGGTTAAGTTACTGAGATTGTATATTACCAATTTTTTTGGAACATTAAAAACTGCCTTACAGCAAAAAGTAATACATTGCTGTAATGTTAATTGCGTTTATTAGCTTATAACACGTTACTCTCAACACTGTTTAAGGCAGACGAAAGTTGCTGTCTCCATTATGAAGCTATTAAAATGCTAACCAACATTAGGGTCATTCTATAATTAGGGGTACATTTCAGATCAACAAAAAAGTGAAGAAATCTGTGTGCTTTTCTGCAAAATCTAATTGTTTTCATAATATACCCCCATATTGTTCTAAATTCATTAGTTCCCAAGCTTAAGCTCGAATTACTTTTTAAATATTTAAATGAAAATAAATATTTGATTGTTTTGTCAACTGTGTTACAGACAAAAGTGGTGTCATAGAAGACATAAATGAAGTACTACACACATGATAAAACATTTGTTTGAAAGTTCTTGAGTCTATTCACCATGGGTTTTGGGGTTGTCTGTCTAACTGATTTAAAAATTATGAATTTTAAACTGAATAACGGATATTCCTTGGTATACTATCATCAAGGATGGAATTTTTTTCCAACATAATTTTCCATTACACTGAATTTAGAGTTATTAAACGTCTTTATGTAATACTGTTCACTCTAGAAATGTCCTTTTTTTAAATTATTTTTATTAAATTTTAGCCTACATTTAAAGATTTATGACACACAAATCACATGTAACACAATTGACAGATAAAGTAACACAGCTGACAGGAGTAACACGGTTGATAAAATGAACCAAGGTCCAGTGAGGCCTTCAACTTAGAGGGCTGCGCCTATACTCAGAATCTGGAGTTACAGTACGTAACTACCATTTTGTATAGGCTTTGCCCCCCAAG